ACTCATGACCACCTGGCTCTTGGCCAGGGGACCATATGCTTGGAGACCTGCAACACAGAGGGGTACCTGGCCCATTTGCTCAGCCCTCAGGGCACTTCCTGGTCTTTTTTTCCCCCTTTTTTTTAAAAAAATATTTATTTATTTATTCTAGTTAGTTATATATGACAGCAGAATGCATTTTTAAAAAAATAATTAATTTATATATTCTAATTAGGTATACATGACAGCAGACTTTCTAACCAACCATAAACCTATAGGTTATACCTGAAGGACCAGGCTAATAACACAGGAGATCAATGATAGTTTCTATTTTCTGATATCTTCAAGATAAAAATTGTATTAATTTTATGACACCCCCCCCCCCCCATTTATTTAGGTGCTGGGGATTGAGCCAGGGCCTTTGCATATTGCTTAGTACGTGCTGTACCCTCTGTCTGTACTTCCAACCCCACTTCTCTGTTGTCTTAAAGGACATATCACACCCTGTAGATAATTTGGGGACTATGAAAAGCCACCAAAAAAGGAATTAAAATTCCCCATAATTCTGTCACTTGAAGATGATCCTTACTTAATATTTTGGTGCATTTTCCTCCAGCTCAGTTTCCTAACATACACCTGTGAAACATTTTATCCTTATTAAGATAAAAACATGTGCTATTTGTCACCAACATTTTCTTTTTAATGTATTGTGAGCATTTCTCATATCTTTCAATATTCTTTGAAAAGCATCATTGTGTGTAGAGACCTAACTTGCGACATGAGGACTGGGGTTAACAATGCTGTATTGTATACTGGTAATTTTCCAAGAGATGATGATGGGTATGTTGACTTGCTTGGTAATAATCACTTCAATATGTACATTCATGTCAAGATAAGACAATCAAGCCATCGTGTTGTCTGCCCTAAATATACACAATAAGAGGAAAAAGGATCCTTGTAACACCCCAGCGTCTTCACTCACTGTCACAACAGGTGCTGTTGAAAAGCATTCTAACCTGTAAATCTTGCATGGGATCCTGCATGTGTCCTCAGGGTGCCTTCCAGAGGTGGGATTACCATGTTAAGACATGTCCTCTGTAAGGTAGGATTGCTTCAGAACCCTGCCTAGCTTCCCACACCTGTTCATCTGCATGGAAATGCCACCTCTGAGGGTGCTTGCTTACCCTGGGTATCCTACTTTTTTGATTCTGTAAATCTTTAAGTGAAAAAAAAACATGGTATCTTGTTTGAATTGCTAATAGTTGTATTTTGGGGCCATTTGTTTATTTTCCCATGAAGATGGGTCTCCTGTTGCTTGCAAAATATTACTCTTTTGTGTGTTGTGGGTGAGAGAATTCTTTTTCTAGTTTGCCTTTAAATATTCATAATGTTTTCTTTTGATATATAAAGAAAGTTAAAAATGTTTAACAATCTACTAGTCTTTTTCCATGGATGTTTCTTTTGTTTTTATGTCTGTAAAGGCCATGCCTCAAGAATAAATAGAAATTTATTTTTTCCTGGTTCTTTTATAATTTTTTTACTTCTAAATTTGTAATTGAATTAATTTTGATATGTAGTATGAGTATTTTCTTATCTAAAGTTTTGTATAATTATTCCACCAACATACCCCATTCTTTTAAAAGAATAGTGTAAAATGCTGGTTTAAAATGCTACCTGTTTGGACTGTTAAAATCTCATATCCTCTCAAAGCTATTTCTAAGCTTTTTGTTTTATTCCATTAATCTGTGTATCTTTGTTCCAGCACCAAACTATGATATTTTATTTCTATGTTGACTAGTATAAGCCAACTTTCATTATTCTTCCTTTTCAAAGTATCCTTGGCTATTTTCACCAATTTATTTGTCTATATCAGCTTCAGCAAGCTTTCTCTGCAAAGGGCTAGGTGGTAAACATTTTAGACTTTGCAGGCCATAATGGGCTGACACTAGTGCTCAGCTCTGGTGCAGAGCAGGTGTGGACAATAATAAAGGAGGCTGTCTTCTATTAAAATATTGTTTACAAAACAGGCTGTGGGTTAATTTATCCCCAGGGCTACGGTTTGCAAACCCTTGTTCTAGATGAATTTTTGAATCTTTTTGTCAAGTTCTTCCAAACTCTTACTACCCTCACAAACACATTTTGTTTGAAAAGGTACATATTCATATTTGTATAAAGATGTTGCTTATTACACGCATACATATTATACATGTGAACATATGTGTGACAGAGTACATATTATATGCATTCATCTTACATACTGGGAGACAGAGTGGAATTTGGTTAAAATGACAGCATTCTTTTAAAATGATTTGGAAGAAAAATATAATATCTTTATAACATAAAGCCTTCCCATTGCAAACATTACTTTCTATCAATCACAAAGTTTTTTGTTTTTTTTTAAAATTTCCTTCATAGGGTTCCTAAAAATTCCTGGTGAACTTAAATTCTTGCAATTTCTTCCACTCTACTTACTGTTGTGAATGGGATGTGTGTCAGGGGTCTCACGACTCCCAGCGTATTCTGTGGTTTACTAGAAAGGACTCAGGGTTATAGTTTACAGCCCATCCACAAAGGAGCAAGACACATCAGGAGGGGCTGGAAGAACCCACCCTCGGTCTCCCTTTCTTCATTCCCTCCCCCACAGGATGCCTCACTCAGAATGTGATCCTGTCTCTAGCATCAAATGTGGCAACCCATTTGATGCTAAATCTTTTGTCTCCATTTCTAGCTTTTACTTCATGTGCATATCTTTGGTTTTCTTCCAGTGCATACAGAACCTCTCTTCTGTTCATTGGGAGAATGTTGTGAAACAAGGTGGCTTGTGGACAGCACATACTGAGGGCCTCGATTGTCATTACAGACCCAGATTTAAATCACTCATGTGAAACCCTAGGGAACAGTTTTTCTCCCTGCTTCTTTTTTCTAACTCTTCTCTGTCTTCAGTCATCAGAAATATTCTTCTCCCTCAGCTCATTCAAAGAAAAGCTGATCTTAACTTCAGTGTGAAGATGAAAATCTTGGAAAGCCCACTTAATAAGTGGGATGGGATAATCTCTGGTCTGTCTTAAGGCAGGATTAAACTACCTTTTGCAGGAGACTGGTTCTCTTTGTAGTTTGACCCTGCTTTTACCAAAAAGACAAAAGGAAATATTTCAAGCCTATTCTGCAGCCAGGATTTAAAGATGGTTCCTCCACCCCCCTTGGTAACCAGGGAGAGCCTGCCAGGCAACCCAGACTGATTCCATGGCCTTTTCCCCTTCCTGCAGGTCCTTCTCTCAGTTACCTTTTTCTTCTCTAGGTCTCCAGCTTCCTGGAGGTTAGGGGACAGCTAGAATTTTAATTGCTTCTTAATCTAAAATCCCTCCAATGAGTGGCAAAAGCCTGGCATTCTGAGAGTGAGACATATGATGTAAATAGCACTGATGAAGGAATTTGAGGTTTTTTTTTTTGTTGTTGTTGTTTGTTTGTTTGTTTCGGTGGTGCCTGGGGATTGAACCCAGAGCCTTGTGCATGCGAGGCAAGCATTCTACCAACTGAGCTATGTCCCCAGCCCATGAATCTGAGTTCTAACCACAATGTAAGTGACTTACATCAGAGCCTCCTTTCAAACTTGGGATGTGGTATGACAGCAGAGATACAAAATCAAAAGTCATGCTCAGAGCCCATCTTCAGTTGGGGTTCAGAAGAACCCAGGTGGTGCTTCAGGGTTGGAGCTAAGCTGACAGGGAAGTGAAGGGGGATGGGGATGAGCTCTCTGAGAGGCTTGCTGGGATCTGAGTGCTGGTGAGCAGGGCTTCCCTTCCCCTGCTGCTTGTTTTCAACTTTCCTTAGGATCAACTTAATCTCTTCAAATTAAGAGACCACAAATCATCTTGTATTCCTCTAGGATGCTTTTCTTCTTCCATTCTTTCTTGTTGTCTTCGTGCTTCATCTTAGCAGGAAGAGTGCTAGCTCCCTGTTGGTCTGTTTCAGGCATCCCTTAGTCCTTTTATTCAAACTCATGTTTATATTTCATACTTGTTTGCAATTTCCTGCTTGGCATGGGCAAAGATGCACCTGTAGTGGCACCAAACAGCCATGGCTGCAGTGCTTTCACTAGACATTCAACCCTCTGTGTGTGAGAATTCAGCACCCTTGGATTCAACCGACCATGAGTTGAAAACATTGAAAAAAAAATGCATTAGTACCAAATACATACAGACATTTCTCTTGTCATTACTACCTGATACTATCAAACAGCTATTTACATAGCGTTTTCATTGTTTAGGTATTATAAGTGTTTTAGAGGTGATGTAAAATATATGGAGGCTATGCATAGATTATATATAGGTACTACTACATCATTCTGTTAAGGACTTGAGCATCTGAGTCTTTTGGTATCCTTGAATGGGGGAGGGGGTACTGGAACCAATGCCATTAGATTCTTGGTGCAAGAGGCTACTATATAGAAAACTAGCTAGGGACCCAGACCATTGAAGGACACAGTTAAGGTTACTTTAACATAGGAATAAATTATGAGCTGTATAGGATCTTTACGATGAAGGTTTAATCATGAATTGGAGTGGGTTTTTCAAGAAGTTTGTAATGTAGAATAGGTTTTCTTTATAACAAGAGCCAATCTTCTTTCTCTTCCTGCCACATTTTATCTGTCCACTCAGGAAACATCAGTTAATTTTGATAGCAGCCCAAAGAAAACATAATTGGGTATTAAAGTTTCTCTCGATATCTATGTATCTATCTCTGAAACTTCTACCTTTTTCCTCTTCTTGCCTTCTCACCACTGTTATAAATTGTCCAAAACACCTCCTTTCTCATAAAGCTAAATAATTGAGGAGTGCATTTCCAAATACAATAATTAGGATGTAAAGCACCTTACCATATGTATTCAATTGCATTTTAAATGTTAATTTTGAGTTGTTTCCTGATTCTAGAGGAAATAGTTCTATGCATGTACTTCCCCACCAGTGCTGGCTGTGCTGTGTGACCCTTCAGTAACAGAATGTTGCTTGGATCTGTTTCAGAGTTCCCTAAAGAGAAGAGGCAGTCGGGAAATGTTCAAAGAGAAGAAAACCTTTAACCAGGTAAGCTGAGGCTTTTGTTCTAATGTCACATTTCCTACAGAGGAAGCCACCTCATTTTGAATATTCTCACAGACATCAGCTTTGCCTTTAAAACCTCCAAAGAAACATCACCCGCCAAAACTCTTGGACTCATTCAAAATCTCTATGGAGTGAACATTTTCTTTTCAAGGCTGTAGCTAATTCCTTTTATTTCTCTCTTGCACTGATAAGCTGCAGCTTTCTTTAGGAAAGAGAACAAACTGGCTTTATGTGAAGCATAACTAGGTGTAGTGTAGTCTGTGGTCTGGCAGTACTCTCTCGAAGGTATTTTGTTCTTCAGAGTCATTCACATAGTAAAATAACATAGCCACTGGAGGGTTGGGTCATTCATAAGCCATTGTTTTGTGTGTAAGTGTTTTTTTTTTTTTTTTTTTTTTTTAAACAACGTGCAGGGTGAAAAAATTGTCCTAATGGAAAGTAAAATATTCTAACTGGAAAAACAGTAAAACCTCTGCCCTTTGTATGTACACAGTATGTGTTCTTTAAAGCCTTCTTAGCTTTTCTGAAGTGTTGTCTTACTGGGTTCCTTTCTTCTTCTTTTAAAATTGCTGCTGTAGTATTAGATGTTGGAGAAAGAAGAGTTTCTGGGGTATCAGTTTGCTGAACTCTGAGAGCAAGGGGTAATTAGAGAGATGCAATAAGTTGGGGTAACTAAGAGCCTTGGTGCAGCCCTGACCCTGGAAGCTCCCCTCTTCATGATTCCTTCTGATTTCTGTGTCCTCCTAACTCACAGATCCCTTTGGTGTTATTTGAGGAGGGCCCAGCCAAGTGAGCAGCAGGAATGCCAAAGATTAACTTTTTCAACCCTCTCTCATTCCCCAAATCTCAACTTGAACTCCACTCATCCAGGGAAATTAAAAAGGTGCTCCATTGCTGTGTGCTTACACCTTCCTGGGCTCAGAGTATGTTTTCAGTTTCCTGGCTCTTGATATCAAAGAGCTTTTCCTTCAGAGGGTGATTGGTCTGTGGGTAAAGCAGGTCAACCACAGGAGCTAGTAGCTCCTTGGATATGTGTCAGTGACCCTGGGGTCTGGGGATGGGTCGAGTTGCCCCACTCAGCCTGCGGGATGATTGAGCAAGGAGTTTCTATTCAGCAGAATGGTGGAATGGAGCGCCTTGGGAACTGCAGGTCGGCCACCAAAACTCAAAGGAAGCTGGCACCCCGGCGCAAGGTAGGCACGTGGGCAGTCAGCTGCTGGGGTGCTGGCCGGATGGCAGACTTGCAAGCCAAAGAATATATACTGACAGCGATATATTTCTGTTGCTTGACAAGGCCTTTCCAGCTGGTGGCGACGGTGCTGGTCCCTGTGTGTCTGACCCCGCCTGCCACGCTTGCCTTCTCTGCCCGCAGCGGGAGTAGTTTTATGTGGAAAGTTGGACTCCACCTTGTACTTTTGTGCTGCATTTCTGGAGTTATCCAAAGGGCTCTTGAAACCAGGGCCTGATATTATTAAGTTTAGGATTCAGCCTTGACTCCTCCACCAGTCGTGGCAGAGTTTCAGTCACAAAGTAAGATGGGTATCCCGCCTCCCATCTTATTAGGAGTGGATTCCCCCACCCAGAACAGGCCAGCCAAGCTCAGCTTCCCTGGGGGCTGGGGGATCCTCTCCTACAGGCAGACCTCCCCAGCAGGCTCTCGGGGAGGGAGCCTGACCTTCCAGCTATCACACTCACTCCCTTGGCTTGTCTTTCTTTATAACTCTGCTTTTGTCCTGGTGGCAGGCCTCGTAGTGCATGCCTGGGTGTTGACAGCATGTTTATCATCTGTAGTTCCTCTCTTTAGGAAATGAGAAGACTTTGTGGACATTTAATCAGTCCTCAGGTAATCTGCACCAAATCGAACACTGAGTAGGGCATCCTGCTGCTTTGACTGACCTGGGTTTAGGCTGGTGGTGGGCCAGGGATTGTGCTGCTGATAGTCAGACTTGCAGGGGTTGGCAGATGGAGAAGGTCCCAGACTGGAGGTGGACAGAGGATGGAGCGGAGGGTCCCTATAGCTGGAAGACACTCTCTTCTCTTCAATGATCCCTGCTGCCCAGATTTCCTGAGGTGGAGATGGGAGTCATTGAGGCAATTTTGGACTGTGGATAAATGCCATCTCTCCAGATAAGAATGGGCTGAGAACCTCTCCTGTCTTCCCGTCCTTGCATTTAATTCCCAAAGGAATTCATCTATAAAGTATTTACAGTCAGCCTCCATTTTCATGGATGTATTTTAGCCTTCCGTAAACTCAACTCCTTCAAGTGAACAGCAGAGACCTGTCACCTGTTGGTGTATTTGGGTTCCTCGCACATCTTCGTCTGACAAAAAATTGGAAAGGTGCTTTTGATGGTTCTACTATAGAAGTTCTAAGAAACTGGGGTTGCATAAAAATAGCCTGCTGATTTCAGGTACAGAAAAATAAATATTTAAGAGTGGATGAATGAACAAATAAGCAGCCATGCTTTTCTATCAGTATTGATATGAAACACAATGAATGTCTTTTATAGCCCATGTGGTGATCTGTGTAGGCCTTTTAAAAAAATAAAAGATCAGTGATAATCCATTTTACTCAGTGGTTTTGAGAGGGCAGCAGCCTTATTCCCAGTTAGTCACAGAAACTCTTTATATGAGCCTAACCAAAACCAAACCAAGTCCTTAATATAAACCAAATCAGAATTCAAAGACTATGTAACATTTATAGATCATTCTTCTAATGAGAAAAAAAAGTAGAGACACTAGCTTCTTTCCCAATATCAATTGCATTTCAGACAAAGAAAAAAGTGGGTAGGGTCAGATGAATGCCATTTACAATTTGTTGTATATTATTTTGGTGACCTTTACAGTGACCTTGTAGTTTGAAAATTCTGCTTTAGACATAAGGAGACTGGTTCACCAGGACTGTGCAATTGACCCAGGTCCCCAGATGGTAGGGGCCAGAGTTAGTATCCTGAGCAGCATATTTAACCCCAAGTCCAGCTGTGCTGGTTTTCTTATTGGTCCTGAGGAAGACACTAGGAGTGTCATCATCCACACGGCACAGGGGAGAGCTCCTGGTCATGCCCTCCACATTGCACTGGCTGAAGGCCTGGTCATGGATTTTTCCTGAGTCTTCTTGGCACATCATTTCCCCCATTTCCATGGGTTTGTGATGAAGGAGAAGAGATCAGGGCAGGAGGCAAGGTGAAAACCCGAGAGGCACCAAGGAAGGTATGCCTTTGTCTTTCTGCCACGTGGCTAGTGGCTGCCAGAATCTGGCAGAGTGAGCCATTATTCTCTGAGCATGAAAGCAATGCAGGTGAAGCTCTGCAAGAGTTAATTCTTCTCTCCCAGAGGGTTGACTTGTTCCTAATCCTGGTTAGCAGCCAGGACAGCAGATGAGTCTCCGAGCTACTGACAGTTTATCTAAGTGATGGGGAAGCCTTTGCTGCTGTCTCCTCTCTGTCCCATCAGCGATTTGGAATTTCTGCTAGTGAAAGAGGAATGAATCATGGAATGGGTCATTGTTCCCTTGGTCATTGTGCCTGTTCATCAAATGTGATTAATATAAAATTTTTCCAAGACTAAGATGGAGAGTTCATACTGCTTCAAAGTACAGGGATCCACAATGGAAAGGTAGAGTTGATGTTGCACTTGGTCCAGAAAGTGCCCTCTTGACCTCCACCATACACTGTAGGCCTTCAGTGGTAGAGCCTCCTTTGGAGGCCCTCCAGAATCCTCTGGTATTCTGCTGTGCTACTCTGATTTGAAAACACTTCACTCTATCCAACATTTAGCTCCTTCCCTCAGGTCTCTGGATTTGATTTCCTGCTGTGTCACAGCAGCTTACGGGAGGGGAATGGAACCAAAGGCCCTGAATTGGCCCTTGCCTGGTGAGAGTTTGGGAGTAGTGGGGGTGTCTAGGTGTATAGTAGTCATTGTGTTCTCCCTACCGGTGCTTGGCACTGATGTGTAGCACCAAAACTTTCAAAGCCCCCTCTTGCCCATCATCCCATTGTTTCATCCTCATGTTATTCTGAGGTACCTTGAGGAAGAGGAGGCAGCAGGGTGGACAGGTGAATTGCCCTCTTTCAGGTATATAACCCATCAGTAGAAAGCTGGGCTCTTATTTGGGGTTGCTTGCTTTCCCCATCCTGGTAGTACCTTATAGAGGTACTACCTTGCAAGGAATGAAGGGGTCTGCACTATAGATGAAGTGAGAAGCCACAGGCTGGATGTGGCCCCTGAATCCTGTTGGCCATACTAGGATCTTATGAGAGGTTCTGAAGTCTCTCTGGTGGTTGCTGGGGGGGATGAACCAGGTTCAACTCACCGTCATGAGGGGTCACTGTATTACCAATGAGTGTTGGTTTATTTTTATTTTCTTTCTTCATTTATAACTTGTATGATGTTCTTCGTGTGCATGTTTTGTTTTTTTTTTTTTCCCCCAAACTAATTCTTTAGTTCTTGTTTGGTTGACAAAGCAACATTCTGTGGGCCTTTCCTAGGTGCCTTCCACAAAGCCCTGGGCTCACCACTGCTTTGTCTTGGCTCCTTCTCCATGTAACTTGACAGCACTGACAGCAAGATCGGCGTGTGTGTGTGTGTGTGTGTGTGTGTGTGTGTGTGTGTTGGGGGCGAGGTGCGAGGGGAATCATCAAAAACACGAACATTTGGTATTTTCAAATAACCCTTCTCTCGGGCTGTTCTTTGCTGGCAGGATGACAGTGCCGATTTGAAGTGCCAACTCCAGTTTGCCAAAGAGGAAGCTTCCCTGATGCGCAAAAAGATGGCCAAACTTGGGAGGGAGAAGGATGAGCTGGAGCAGGAGCTCCAGAAGTATAAGTCCCTGTACGGTGATGTGGACAGTCCCCTCCCCACGGGGGAAGCCGGGGGGCCCCCCAGCACCAGAGAGGCAGAGCTGAAGCTGCGGCTGAAGTTGGTGGAGGAGGAAGCCAATATCTTGGGCCGGAAGATCGTGGAGCTGGAGGTGGAGAACCGAGGCCTCAAGGCAGAGATGGAAGACATGCGGGTCCAGCATGAGCGGGAGGGAATGGGCCGGGACCACGTGCCAAGCATTCCTACCTCACCCTTTGGCGACTCCCTGGAGTCCTCCACGGAGCTCCGCCGTCACCTGCAGTTTGTGGAAGAGGAAGCCGAGCTGCTGAGGAGGTCCATATCTGAAATCGAAGACCACAACCGACAACTGACCCATGAGCTGAGCAAGTTCAAGTTTGAGCCTCGCCAGGAGCCAGGGTGGCTTGGGGACAGCTCATGTAAGGGTGCTGGGGCCGGGGCTCCCTTGCAGGAGGAGCTGAAATCAGCCAGGCTGCAGATCAATGAGCTGAGTGGGAAAGTGCTGAAGTTGCAGTATGAGAATCGGGTGCTGCTGTCCAATGTCCAGCGCTGCGACCTGGCTGCCCACCTGGGGCTGCGTGCCCCAAGCCCCCGGGACAGTGATGCTGAGAGCGACACAGGCAAGAAGGAGAGCGATGGGGAAGAGGGCCGCCTGCCCCAGCCTAAGCGGGAAGGCCCAGTTGGCGGTGAGAGTGACTCAGAAGACATGTTCGAGAAGACTTCAGGCTTCGGGAGTGGGAAACCATCAGAGGCTAGTGAGCCATGTCCAGCAGAGCTCTTGAGGGCCCGGGAGGACACCGAGTGCCTGGCAACCATAAAGCATGAGGCCCAGCGGCTTGAGCGATCAGTGGAGCGCCTCATCACAGATACTGATGGCTTTATCCATGACTCAGGGCCGCAGGGCAGCAGCTTGGCCTCACATGGTGTCCAGGGTGAGGGTGAGAGGGGTGAGGGGGCCCAGAGTGAACCCCATCTTCTGGGGACCATCAATGTGAAGATGAAGGCTTTCAGGAAAGAGCTGCAGGCCTTTCTGGAACAGGTGACCCGGATTGGGGATGGCCTGTCACCCTTGCCCCACCTCACAGAGTCTTCCAGCTTCCTCTCCACCATGACCTCCGTGTCCCGGGACTCCCCCATCGGGAACATGGGGAAGGAGCTAGTCCCAGAATTGCAGGTAAGGGGGCTCCTGGCTTCGCCTCCCTGCTCCGTCTTGCTCTTCCTCCTTCTCGCTGGCATTGCTGCTCTCGGGCTGGTGCTGCTCACGGCTGCTTGGTTATGATTTCAGACCTGCATTGTACTAAAGCCTCCGGCGTCAACCAAATCCTGTCTCTTGGTTGGGTTTCTTTCTTTCTTTTTTTTTTTTTTTTTTTGTTTTTATTTTCCTTTGTTATTTTTTGTTTTATTTCCTTGTTTCTCTGTTTTCCTCTTTGATTTTTTTTTTTTTTAACTGCACCACCGCTTGTGGTTTAGAGGCCCTCTCATGACACAAAGGCTAAGCCCAGTGGAGGCGCTAGGGATCGTCGCAGCCCATCCTTGCTCCTTTCTCGGTGTTTCAAAAACAACCCGCCACCCTGCTGAAGAAGCAATGAGGAGTTTAAGACCAAAGTACCAACTCCTGTCACAGTCAGGATGAGTAGCAGACTCGCTAACGAGCGCCCGAATCCCTCCTTGGGTTTACTACCAAAGGGACACAGTGCAGTTCTAAGAGGCCCTAGGCAGCCCAGACCCACCCACTCCCACTGGAAGATAAGCCAGGATGGGGGAGAGGAGCCCAGTTCTGAGAGAAGGCTGTTTTTGATGGAAAAAAATCTCGCTGCCGGCTCGCTCCCGCCACCCTCCCGCACCGCCGAGGGCAAGGGGCAGAGTGGAGCAGCCTTACGAGGACCGCTTTCCCAGGCATCGCCCTGGGGTGCATGGCCCCGCTGCCTCCCCGGACTGTGGCTTTTGCTGCTCGACCCACACGTAAGGAAGGAAGAGCCTTGTCCTCTGTGTCCTTCATGGGTAGTGTGCTTGTAGTCGACTTGTGGTTCACGCATCCCCATTGCACGCGCCTCATAACCAGTGTTCTGCATCTCCCACGCATTCTTTGCTTTCCAGATGTTTCGGCCCATCCTGTTGCTCATCCGCATTCTTTGTTCTGTTCTCTTCACTCTCCTCTGCCATGCTCATGCTTTTCTTTGGTAGTTTTTTTCAGTTGTCTATCTTACCTGTTTTTGTTCTCTTTGCCCCTCCCGCCCCTTTGTCCTGTTTTTTTTTTTTTTTTTTTTTAAAATAAAAACTTAACCTCCTCCTGGAAAAACAAAAAACAAAAAAAACACAAAAATGAATCCTTCCCATGCACCTAACAGTCCAAACTGAGAGACCAGCTGGAGTGGCAGCTCGGTCAGGAACGAGGGGATGACCGAGAAAGCCTTCGCCTCCGAGCCACACGGGAGCTGCACCGCCGGGCTGACGGGGATGCAGGGAGCCACCGGGCAGGAGGCCAGAGCTGCTTCAACCTAGAGGTCAGTCCCTACCTTGCCCTCCCCATCCCACTTTCCTCTCTTGCCGTGTGGCTGGCTGTGCAGTTTCTCATCTGGGATAGCGCCCTTAGGGAACATGGCAGGAAGACATGGGACCAGGTAGAACTTATATGGAATCAAAACTCATTGTGCATAATGACAACTGGACCTGCCACGCTCATTGTCAGATGGAAGTGATGGCTCACTGTAGTATTGTCCCCCCATGGACCTGCATTCCTGGCCCCAGGAGTGCCTGGAGGTGTGACCGGGCATGGCTGGCTCTATTTATGAGTATTCAGTGGCTTCTTATTCTACAGCAGGGAAACTTGGGGTGGAACCCAAGCTGGCTTTTTCCTAGGGAAGAAACTCTCCTGAGGGTTTTCTTTCTCAGTCCTTCATTGCCCATGAGTCATGTGACTCCTCCATGGTCCCTGAGGACAGTGTCTCAGGGGAATTAGGGATGTCTATTCCCAACCTGTGTGGTATCCACAGCTGTCTCTGTTGCCATGATAAACCCACGTGCACAAACCTGCAGCCACCTGTACAGACACCTGCATTGTTGTTGAGCCATCACAGTCATCTACAGTCCCGTGAGAGGGAAGCTCCGAGACAAAAATAGCCCAGCCAGAACAGAAAGATGTTCCTGAGGAGTGAGCCTGGGCTGTTACTTTGCTGATCACTCAGGTTTGGGGCAGGGTTAGAACAGAAGGTTTGTCTATTAGAAAAGGACCATAACTCTGGAGATACTGAAAAAAATTTTAATTTCTCAGTCCTTAGAGGGATGCTAACACTTAGCTCAGAGGCATGGGAGCATCTCCTCCCAGGCAGGAGTGAGGGCGAGGTGGGAACAGCTGAATAACAGAAGTGGGTAAGAGGTGAAGCTCGGTTGCTAGGAAAGGCAGGCTGTTTGGTTAGGAAATAGGCAGAGGTGCTGCTGATGAGGTGGGGGGTACTGCTGGCACCATTATCAGAGGTGGGCATAGTGGGGGAGGGCTGCCTCGCCCAGAAGAATCCAAACAGCTCTAACCCTGGCTCTGAAAAGGAGTTGTCACATCTCTACCCTTGTGATTAGACACATGAGAATGTGAAAATCACCTCTAAATAAGTAAAATTTAAAAAGTGTTCAGAAAGAGTCTATGTAGTGCCACCATTCTTATGTTATCTGGACAGGCCAGGCCCAACCTAAGAAGTTGGCACCCAGGTTCACATCCTAGAGGGAGGTACACATGCCCCTGAAGGTGTTACAAAAGCACACAGTGGTGCCAGCTTCCTTGGGAACAGCCAGAAGCTCAGCATGTCCTGCAGATCTCTACAGTCTGTCCAGGGATGGCTGGTGCCTCCTAATCAGAGTACCCAGAACCTGTCATTTTGTTTAACATTTCCTAAACACAGTCTTCAGACACAGAGTTAGACATACATAAGGTACATCAATTTCACAGTGTTCTTGTTCCAAAATGGCAAATACTATGTTCCTAGATTTTATACCAAAAGTTAAACAGAATAGCCAAATATTTGCAGAACTCATTTGGCTTTTGGGAGTCAGTGCCTCACTGTGGAACTTTCCCAGGAAACGCTTTTGTTAGCTCATATTGCACACAGGGTCTTCATCTGAGAATGCTGGTTGCTTGGGCAGTCACAAACTCACAATTATGCACATTTCAGATGTCCTGAGTGATCCGTCTGCAGCATGGATACCTCCGGAAAACTCATTTCCCAACCTTTAGTTAACACTCTACTACTAAGTTATTTCTAGGAGGGACATCTTAAGCCCTGGGGTTCTAACCTTAATGTGTCCATCACTGACTCAATTTCTCAGGCGAACCTCTGGGCCTCTGTTTTCTCTGGGCCTCTGTCAAATGGGAATAAAGATGCCTTGTCTGCCTCACATGGTTATATGTGGATGATTCTTCAAACAAATGAGCTGTTGAATGAGGAAGTACTTTTTAAAAGTACCGAATGCTGTGCCAGTGTAAAGTAGGATTAAAATTAAAGACACTGCAGGGCAGTGTGTCCCAGCATTGCAGAATGCCAGATGCTCCCCTGGTCATGGTATCAGTTTCTCTTTCCACTGTAGCACTTTGCCCTTTTCTACTGGCTGTTTCCCTTCCTGGGCCAGAATCAGAGCTCAGCAGCCTCTTCCCACTGAAGGACTAATTATGAGAACTGTGGCTTCCTTCTTAGGTGCCCCGTCATTCAAGGTCTGTCACACAGCCTTAGTTACGTAAGCTCTGTGAGTTGTCAGAAAGCTCATCCCCTCCTGGACTCCTGCTGGGTGCTTATTATTTAATGCTGGTGCAGTAATAAGGTGCCACATGCACACACGCAATGCAGAGCTTTACAAACCAGCAGCGATTTTGGAAAGAGAAAAGTACTCAGTTGAGTCAAACTGAATATTGAGGGACAGTAAACCTGCATAAGAGGTAGATGAACAGAGCTGGGTGGTACCATTTGGTGGGCATAGGATCACCAAACAGTGTAGTTCAGATAGGAACATCTGATCTTCAAACGAATTCTCTCATTCTTTGAAGGAGCGGAAACGCGGTCCTCAGAGTGAAGTGGCTTGCCGGTAACTGCCCAAGAGGGTGGGTGACAGAACTGGGTCTAGAACAGTGGTCTTAAGACTGCTTTAGAGCTCTCTGTGACTGTGGGCACCTATCAGCACAGAGCCTACTACCTCCACTGGGCTGCATTTCTGGCCATCCTCACTCAGGTGACATTATGGCTACCTTGCCATGGCATGGTTGTTTTAGAAACCCATCTAGTTTCCTCTAATTTTAAATATTTCAATTATAAAATAAAAACCCAATAGTGGTAGGTCAGATTAAAAAAATAAAAATAGTACATAAATAAATAAATAAAACCCCAAACATCATTTCCTAGCAGGGGTAATGGAGGTAATTTGGAGTTATGTGTCCTTTGTTCTTATGTCTTTATTCAAAAAGGCATTTTGCTCAGAAGACAGAACTCAAGTATGCAAACACATTCTATTTTTAAAATTTCTTAATGAAGCGTGTTCTGAAATCCCTTTGATACTATTGTAGTGTTTCCTTTTATTAGAAGAGCTGAGCATCGATCCCTCATCAAGCCTGGGTGGCAGAGGCTGCCTATCTCTGGTGTGGATATCACTCTGGCAGACTTGTTTGGTCCTTGAATATTACATTGTGCCAAGGAATTGTACAATGGGCAATTCCAGGAAGCAGAAAAAGCCTTTTAATGAAAACATCCCTAAGTTCACTGCCAACAATTGCCCTCCTATGAGGCTGTCGTGGACATGGCACACAAAGCTCCCATCAGTTAGCAGCACAGCCCAACGAGAGAAGCCACTCTGTGTTAGACTCACACAGATTCCAGAGTCATTGTGGAAAAGACAAACATGGGCACCCTCCACCCCTGTACCCCACCCTTTGGAGATCAAACTCAGGATCTTGCACATGCTTATGCTAGGAAGCGCTCTTCCACGGAGCTACAACTTCAGCTGCAAACATGGACACTTTCATCCAGAATGAGGCTAACATGAAGCTGGGTGACATACTGCTAGCAGTTGTCTTTGCTCCCTGTTACATTGCCCTTTAAAAAAAACACTAATTTTGTCCTCAAGCCAATTACTTCTATCCCTGGGTGAACCTCCTTCAGAGCTCCTGGGAGGTTTAAGAGAGAAGTCCCATAGGACACCCAGCTTCAATGGTGTAAAAGAAACAACTTTTTGAATTTAAACAGAATATTTTTAAAAGAATCAGTTTTTCAACTCCCATTTGTGAAATGGCTCTCTTCTGATTTTGGCCTTATGCATTTTCATATCTGAGGACAGGGGAAAGAAGACATGTTATTTTTGGAAGATTGGGGTATTTAGCCAGGTTAGCAGTAATAACACCAGGAAGGAGAAGAAGGAAAAGTCCATTCTTATACATTAGCCCTTTTCAGTGGATAACAAATTGGTGTTAGAGGCTGGCTGTTCAGATGCCACCCTTCACTAGACCTAGGAAAGAAGAGGTATATTCAAGGCCAGCATTCTTCAAAACAGCCACAGTCAGAGAGAACTGAAGTCAGAATTCACAAACACTAACCCACCCACTATTGTAATTGTGCAGAAGTTAACTGTTAAAAAACCACACCCAACCTAAACAACAGCAAAACAACTTCGGAAGCACAAGTACTCCTGTGCTTCAGAAGCACAAGCTCATCTCAGTAGATATTGGCAAGATGGTCCCACTGTGTCCTGAACTCTTCCCTGTCTTCACCCCATGGTTCCCATTAGGTCTTCCGAGAGAGACACATTTGTTAAGAGTACGCAGTGTTTAGAATGTTTCATATGGAATGTGCTAGGAGCCTTAAAAATAGTTCTGAATGAGAAGTGGCCAAGCATGGACACTGGTCAGATTTCACATATAAATGAAACCAAGCCTGTGCCCAGAGGATTGAGTTTCTGGGTCAGAAATCTCAAAGAGCTCTTCTCCCTAGCTCTCCCTTTTATCCTTTAATCAACCAAGCACACGGAACATCTGCGATCCCTTATGTCTCAGCTGTGAAATACCAGCCGCAGTGAAACTACGTGGGGTTTATGCCAAGTATTTGTACACATGCATTGACCTCATATACTGCTTTTCAAAGAGGTGGTACCAGAACTGGCCAGGACAAAATGGAACTCTCACTAGAAACAAAGTTGTGGCAATGGAAATCTTGTAGACTTATAACATACAAGTAGCATTGGTGGTTATTATAGCATTCCTCTTTCTGTTTATTGAGATGGTGACATTATTTTCTTAAGGGTGGAAAGAATTTATAAGTCACTTTTTCTGGGAACGTTCAGGAAATTAACAATACGAATCATTCTGGGATTCAACCCCTATGGGCAGAAGGATGGCATTGGATCTCAGAATGCTGGCTCAGGGTGAAGGGTGGTCATGATGTCAAGATTAATGTCTAGAAAGCCTTGGAAACAAGTGTGAATGGCACTCGTTTAAGTAAACTACCATATAGATCAAGGTGAATTTGTTTGTTATATAACCAGAGTCTTAGGTAAGTGAGCAAAGGATGACTTTTAGAATAAAACCTTTGGGGAATTGATGGTAAACGGAAGTATATTTTTTCCTAGAGGAAATGTATATGTCATGTGAAAATGTTCCCCAGTTGTATGTGATTATATGCAGTCACGTGGCAATGGGAGTCATTCTAGACCAGAACTCTTGCCTTGGCATGTTTGTATTTTGTTTTTGTAACACTGGAGTGACATTGGCATCCCAGCCAGGAGCAGCTACCCATAGGAGTTTTAATATTTCATTAGCAAAAATGGACCATACCGGATAATGAAACTTCTGATTGATCAGTAAGTTTCTGTTGTTAACCAGGCAACAGTCTACATGTGGATCTCAACGGTACTCTTCAAAGGTGTGTTTTAATCAGAAGAGCATATTTTTAATCAAATGATGTTGAAGTATGAGACTATCTCTCTGTTTAAAATAAAAATAATTTAAATATTTATTAAGATTGAAGCCAACCTAATAGTTTAGGATAATACAGGGTTAGCATCCCTAATCTGAAATATGAAATGCTCCCAAATCCAAAACTTTCTGAGCATCCATGTGACTCTACAAGTGAAAAATTCCATACCATGAAGTCTTTGTTTCATGCACAAATTTATTAAAAACATTGAACAAAGTTACTTTCCATCTGTGTTTATAAGGTATATACAAAACATAAATGAATTTCATGCCTAGATTTGTGTCCCATTTCCAAGATATTTTATTATTCATATGCAAATATTCCATAGTCCATCCCCCCCCCAAAAAAAATATCCAAAACACTTCTGATTCCAAGCATTGTGGATGAAGAATACTCAACATATATAGAAACTAAATTAATAGATCTTTGGTTTTTTTTGAACAACAAGCTTGATTAGGATATCTGTTTTAATGTGAAATAGTCCAAAACTTTGGCTGGCACCTAATGCATTAAAATACGGAGAGTCTTTGCATCTTAAATTTGTGGAATAATTTGTAACTAAAAAGTAAAGCCAGCAGCTGAGCAGCCCAGGCTGCCTGAAAACATTCTTGCAGAAAACAACTGAGTGGTAGAAGAGAAGACCCCTGAGGGTAGGGTTTGGGCAACTTCATCTATTACTGTAACCCCAATGCTTTGAACAGTGCCTGTATTACAAGTGCACAGTGTTTGCTGAATAAAATGCTGCATAAAATATAAAACTCCTTTTATTTACATAGCTGAATTCCAAGAATAGGGAGTCTTCAAGGGTTGGAATTTATTTCAGAATTGAAAACGAGCAATATCTGGGTTAGGTGGGTGGATGGAAACAAGGGACAGAGCCTTAGGCCCAACACAAGCAGGGAAAGAAATTCACAAGAGAAATATTTGCCTACTGGTTGCTGGGCAGGAGAGAGGTAGCAGGACACTTGTTTACACAGCATGGACTCTGGTTGGGAGTGGGAACCACAGCTGGCTCTCACATGGGATCAAGCTTTGAACTGATGTTACCACTTTGGTCCAGGAATCCCCAAGGAGAGGGACTTAAGTCTTACTGCTGGCTTCTGCAAGTGCAAAGCAGGTCTGGAGGCACATTCTTAACCAAGTGGCATGTGAGACCCATAGATAACTGCCCATTGAAGATGAACTCACGGTGCAAAACTTCAAACACACAAAGACACCCACCAGCAGCAAGAGCTGGCAAGAATTCTAAGACCTTTAGATTGTAGGATTGTCAGACACCATATAAAAAGTGGGTTCAGAACTATTAAATATGCAGGTATATAGAAAAAAAGGGAAAATTGCTATCATAAGATCACACATTTAAAAATAAGAAAATATAACTTTTAGGAATGAAAAATTAGTTGAGATGAATTCAGTGGAATAAATTCCACATGTAGAGAAATGCCTCTTTTCAAAGAGAGTCCACATATAAAAAACTGCAATAACAACTAGTAAATCAAGAAGCAGTTAATTCAGAAGTTCTTGAATTTCTTAGGGTTGGATGAGTTTAGATATCTTACTTGCAAATTTTTATCCCAAATTTGATGAAACCCCAGTGGGTCTGATTTTCTTTTCTTCCTTTCTTCTTTCTCCAAGAGCATCCCCCTCTACCCCTGCATTATTCCTTGTGCTAAGCGAACGGCTCTGCTGTTTTATTTTCTGCATTTCCTGTTCTTGGGGTATGATTTTTACTCATGACAGATTAGGAGAAGCAGTGTCCTCAGTGAGAAGTAACAGATTAATTAAAGGTCAACAAAACAAGCCAGTAAAATGGCATGTGTTTTTATTGCAACAATCCACTCTCATTCCCAGTTTTGTACATCATCTGCCTCCAAGTAGCACAAAGCAGTGGGTAAAATGTCTTGCTTACATTTTAATGATGCCTGAGAATTTTAGTATGACAGTGTTTCCGACTCTGTAAAACACATTTCATTTCAAATTAGTGACTCTAACCACTTTCTCATGCCTATTTGGACTTTAAAGGTAGACTTTAACAATAAAAATAACAATAAGTGAATCCACAGATTTATTGGCCTGTTTGTAACCTGAAGTGTAATAAGTAGATCTTTGTGTGGTTCCTCTTGGGCAGTGTGTGCCACTGAAGCAGGGCAGGTGGAGGGGAGTCATCCATCACCAGGTGATACAGATAGCTGTGGAGCCCCACACACCAGCTCCTCCCCATCCCCAAAGTCCCAGGAAAGTTGCCGCAGAGTCACTCCACTGCTGCAACCCCGTGTGCCATGTCTCTCTGTGTTTGTCTCGAGCTTGTGCAGATGTCTGTCCTGCGTTGTCACCTGAGGCAGAGTTCTTGTTTCCACTAAACCCCTTCCTTTATCCCACCAATCAGCTCAGGGGCCCCCCTGTTTTACCTGAGCAGAATGTATCGATAGAAGAGCTACAGGGTCAGCTCGCGCAGGCGGCCAGACTGCATCAAGAGGACACAGAGACATTTACAAACAAGATCCGTAAGGTAAATATTAACGCGGATTTCAGCATGACCGCTTCTTGGTCTGCAGAGCCCCTCAGGAGATACACCATGATGCATTTTAAAAGAATGCTGCCTGTCCTGTACAGACCCACAGGCATATAGAAAGGTTACCCAATTGAGCTACCCCCTCTCAGATGTGCCAAAAAGACAACTATCCACCATTTTGTTCTGGAAGACACATTTCAGCACTTTGGTTTCCCCTCTCTAAGCATCGTGAGGATGCCTGAATCCACAAATAGTACCAAATCCCAAATATATTACTTTTTCCTATACAGTACATATATACCTATCATGAAGTTTAACTTATAAGTTATGCACTGAACAGGATTAACAATAATATGTGATAAAAATAGAATCATTATAACACTATACTATAATAAATGTTACTTAAAATTTAAGAATTGGCTATTTCTGGGGTTCTCTAGGTAATATTTTTGGAGTGGGACTGTGGGTAACTGAAACTTCAGCAAACAAAACTACGGATAAGGGACAATGGTTGTATTTTACATGAAGGTACCAGGAAAGTTTTCCGCATATCTGATCTAAACTTTACTATAGCAGTACCAACCAGGCAACTGACATAAAACAAGGACCTTAAATGCAAGCAGACAGGGGAGTGTGTCTATCACCTTGCTCAATGTTAAGAGAATCTTCTGATAGGAATATCAACTCATCCTAAACTGTCGTCTTCAAAAATACTGCCACTATAATTGAGCTGTGGCCTGATTAACTTCTAGTTATTTTAGAATAACCTATTACAGGCTAATTATTCTTTATCCACTAAATCCTTTCCCAGAGCTCTTAGTAGAAGGGATTCACAGGTAACAGGCACTCTGGCTCTAGGCCTCCCGAGGATAGTCCAGTCCCTGACACCCTGCATCTAATTAAGCTATAAACAGATATGTAAATTCAGAATTGCCATCACTGCTCTTTTCCCCTTGCTTTTGCTGTCGAAAGATAGCTGTCGTTTAAAATGAAACAAAGCAGTTGATATTGAATAGTGGACCTTGATATTCTATCATGCAATATACTATGCAAAGTAAGGTTCCTGGTATATCCAAGAATTTATTTTGGCAAGGAATATGTGCTGTATGTATATGCCTCCAGGGTGATTCAGGTCAAGAGGATCTAAATGGGTCACAAACTGATTAAAGGATTGCCTGCTACACTTTGCAGCTTAGGGAGGTTAGAGTTGAACAGCAGGGAATGAATATTCTCTGCTATCCTCTCCCCCAAGAGGCATACCCCTTTTCAAATGTTTTGCTTATAAATCAAGTTTCACTATCATTACCAAAGGAAAACAATTCCATATTGTACAAACGACCAATTCCTAACTAATTAAAAAGATTTTTTTTTAAAGCATTGTACCAAAAATAGGTTGAAAAGGGAGTTTATCCCTGGAGATGCTGATAGTGCAATGGTAGAGTCTCAGGTGTGTCTAGTACTTGGATTAATGAGAAAGGAGTATTTTGAAGCAGAGACTTAAGAAATGAAGAGATATTGTCTTCAGGTTTGTTCAAAAGTTAAAGGAAGTTGTCCCCTAACATGGTCGTAGGGCAGAAGGTCAGATCTGAGATTTGAGAAGCACTTGGAGGCATGGAACAGAAGGAGTCAGAAAGGGCAGTATGTATGTGTGTCTGTCGGGGGGTGTCAGAGTGAGCCAGGACAGGGTGCTGCAGATAGAGGGGCATGAGAATGGCCCCTTGAGATGTAGCACCCCTCAAAATGTTATCTTGAGATCTTTCTATAGCATCTCAGGGAAAGAGCTGTGTTGGCTTCATGTGACCCCCGAGGAAGCTGGATTTTTCCCTCAGTGAGGCAGGTGGCTGAGACAACAGCAAGTGAGGGATTTTGGTGTGCCAGGCTGCCCGCACTTTATCTGAGCTTATATCCACAGGGTGATAGCCAGCGGTGGAACTCGCAGACTACTGAGGTACTGGATAAAATTGCCACTTTCAGCCTGAAGTACAGTAGATAACCATTGTCACCACAGTAGCCACAGAGACAATTGCATAGATCCTCAGACATTCCCACAGCCACTTCTGTCTCCCCCTGGCCTTTATTTAGCACATTAGCCGGTATTGGTGTCATCTTTAGCATATTGGTGTCACCTTTAGGCAGCCATAGTCCTAGCCTCAGGTTCCTCAGAAATAATGTAGTTGTTTAGGATAAAAGAAATCACTCCCTTTTTGGCACAAGACAGAATGTTAAATTAAGAGAGGACAGCTGATAATGACCAGGCTGCCATTCTAATCTTTGTTTGGGAGGTAGGGTGGGTCTATGGAATAGAAACCTTTAATCTCATATATCACTTTAGCTAATATAAATATTATTCTTGTGCCCTTATCTACAAAATACAATTTTACTTACACCGTCTTGCTTAGTCACTATTGACACGTAATAATCATTTGTCTCTTGGAAGAGTGCCACCACACATGGTGGCGGGCACCTGTAGTCCCAGCTTCTTGGGTGGCTGAGGCAGGAGGAGTGCTTGAGCCCAAGAGTCCAGCCTGGGTGGTGCAGAGAGAAACTCTCTCAAACTGAAGAAAGATAACAAAACAGGAACTTAGAGCTCAGGTGGAAGATTCTTCTTTTTCAGCAATGCTTTTATTTCCCTAAGAAAATCTACTATGCATATCTAATAGGTAGGTTCAGCCTTCAGTGTGGAAGTAGGTACTTACTTTCTTGTTTGCTGACCACTGTATGCAGCTAAAAAAAAATTCCTTCTGGCTTTAACTGCTGTGCTCTCTGGCTCTTGGTGGGCCTTCTCTTGGCTATGTATTCTCTTTCTATGAGGGGTTTTGGGAAACTAGGGGTCTCAGGAAATAAAAGAAAAGACTTTCCATTTTATTTCTTCTTTATAATTGCAGTGCAGCCTTATGTGCCAAACTCAGGCACAGTGGGATCTACTTAAATGGCATTTGAATCAGCTGCAAGCCATTCATCAAAGAAACATTTTTTTTCTTAAGGGGTTTAGAGACATCTAGGAACACCATGAGAGACTGGCAGGGAGAAAATGGTTCTAATACCTTTCTTTGAAATAGCACCTGCTTCTGAATCTTAAAGCTCATGAGATTTTATACATCATATGCACCTCAAGTTGTTCATCACTCTAAACTTATGGGGGTCCTATGTTTCTCATCTCCTTTGCAAGATGGTCTAAATTGAATGGCACTTTGCAGTTGGTTGGGTTTAGGTGGCAAATTGGAATGAGCCATGTGTCAATCTTTCCCTTTGATTTCATTCAAGATGGAGGAGGAGCACCTCTATGCCTTGAGGTGGAAGGAGCTGGAAATGCACAGCCTGGCTTTGCAGAACACCCTCCATGAGCGAAACTGGAGTGATGAGAAGAACCTGCTGCAGCAGGAGCTCCGGTCCTTGAAGCAGAACATCTTCCTCTTCTATGTCAAACTCAGGTGGTTGCTGAAACACTGGCGGCAAGGGGAGCAGATGGAGGAGGGAGGAGAGGATTTTACTGAGGTAAGGCCATCCATAGAGTTCATTTTATTTGCATCTGTTTTGTTCTTGACCCTAGACACTGTTGTCCCTTACCCTACACAGAAATCCATGTCCTGTTATTTTTAATTATTTTGTCAATTTCAGTCCAAGCCATGGAAATGCAATGGCTTATCCTGTTATATATGAAACCAAGAATTCCATGCTGTACTTGGAACTAGTTTTGTGAGTATCCTGGTCTATAACTCCTTTCTGCAATGAAGTTTTGAGGTCATCTCCTTTGTTCTTGGTTTATTAATTCATTGAAGTTATCACCATGAGGTCCTTTGCCATCTCATTCACCTTTGGTGGTTTATATAAGCTGGTTCTAGAATATCTGCTCTCCTTTCTGTTATACTTTGCGTTTCCAGATGCTAGAGCCTGTGACAGCCATAAGGGTCTCTTCTAAGTCTCACATGGGTCACTTTGTCACCTCTGAAATTCATATATATTCTTCCCTTTATGTCTTAATTCCTGAATTCAAAACAGCAATGGAACAGTGTTATTTGCTTTCTGATTGATTTTTTTTGTTGCTGAAATCAGAGTGACCTCTAGCTCCACAGGCTCTGTCCTGGCTTTGCTTTTTGGTAAGCATAGGCCTGGAACTGCTGACCTGTGCATTCTGTCCATCCACACCCAGACTACTTACCTGCTTCAAGGCATTGTAAATAGCTGGTTTCCTTTGAACCTACAAAGACCTTTTGTCTGCTTCCCACTCTAGTGAACAGGATATGTAATTTAAAGTTGTTCTGTGAATGGTGGGTGATTCTCTTTCCTCAGGGTAAAAAAGTTTTTAAAAATTAATTCACCCAGCTTCCAAGTGTTCATGACAGGGAAAACCTTTGCTAGGAAAGGCTAGAAATAAGGTTTCCTGTTGGTCAATACTACAGAATTCCTCTAATTCATAAAATTATAGCTAGAAGCAATACTAATTTATAAGAAGTAAAATGTCTCATTAACCTTTTCTAATAAATGGGTCACCCACACTATGCCATTTAAATGGAAGAAGGGTCAATGAGAGAAATAGCCAAAATGAGCATCTTAGGGGAAAAAGGCAAAGAAGGAAAGAACTTGGTAATCCATTAAGCTGATAGTTAGCCTCAAACAATAGTTTCAATAGTCCCAACCACTTCAGGAGGCTGAGGCAGAAGGATCCCTTGAAACCAGCAATTCAGGGCCAGGCTGGGCAATACAGTGAGACCCCATTAAAAAAGAATCAGTCGGGCTGGGGTTGTAGCTCAGTGGTATAGTGCTTGCCTTGAATATGTGAGGCACTGGGTTTGATCCTCAGTACCACATAAAAATAAAATAAAGGTATTGTGTTCATCTACAACTAAAAAATAAATTAGCCAGGTGCAGTGGCTCACATCTGTAATCCCCGTGGCTCAGGAGGCTGAGGCAGGAGGATCTCAAGTTCAAAGCCAGCCTCAGCAACTTAGCAATGCCCTAAGCAACTTAGTGAGACACTATCTCAAAATTTAAAAAAAATAAATAAAAACAGGCTGACGATGTGGCTCAGTGTTAAAGCACCTCTGGGTTCATTCCCTGATTACATACACACACACACAAAATCAGACTGTATTGCAAAAGGATGAGGGCAAAGCTATGATCATCATATGCTACTCATTTCAGGGTGAGCATCCAGAGACCCTCTCTGAGCTTGGTGAGCTTGGAGTCAAGGGGAATCACCAAGTGGATGGACCAGACCAAGATGATGGTGACCAAGGCTCTGGCTTTCCAGTGGGGGAGTGTTCCCCACATGTCCCCGTGCAGCTTGGTGATCATGGATCACGGCTACAGGCTGTGGATGGGGGACCACTCCACAGGCAGGTGGGTGTCTAGATCAAACCCATCCTTCTGTCTACCCCTGGGAAAGGAGACTCCCCAAGCCACATTTGTGCCATCTTATTACAAGTTCCCAAGTCTGATGTTCCTGGTAGCAGGAAAGTCCTCTGACTGTGGCCACCTGCTGCTGTTTGGGATGCTGGATTTTTGCTATAAATCATATTGTTCAGCCTTTTAATCTTAGTATCAGCCCATTAATTCATCTGTCTTACCCATATAAATAAGGATAGTAGTCAGATCAGATCAATAGAATCCAGCAAATATATCATGGGAGGAAAAAATTTATAGAATCATCTTGGACTTTTAAAATTGACCATTCTTGCAAGGAAGTGAGAACACTGAATACAATGCTTCTATCACAGCCAAAGAAAGAACTTCCAGGGCTTTTTGACTGTCATTAGCTAAACAGCAATTGCCAACATCACTGAATTGACAACATAATTTGTAAGGAAAAAAGAACAATGTTTTTTAATTTAAATTCTCAACTTATATAAAGTCTTTCAAGTTCTCTTTGGCCACTCGAAACATAATGTTCCAAATAAAAATATTTGATGAATCCTTGAAAAAAATGAAAGCATATACCAAAAGAGGTGGTATCACGGTGTTATTAAGTAATTATAAGTGTTTCTGAGCCCCACAGAAATAGACCCTGTTTTATAAACCAAACGATACTACTGATAACATATGTTTGTTTTTTTTTTTGTTTTTTTTTTCATTTTTCTACCAAATGGCAGCTGTAGTAGATTTGGAAGATTGAGGTCTTGGGAAGAACTGAGAGACCCTGTAGTAAAGCTATCTCACTCTCGGACTTTGAGTCCCTTCTGACCCAACTTTTCTTCTTAGAGGGCTTGGACAGCCAAGCCAGAGCTCCTGTGCTGCCCCCCTCCCCCAGCCCCCCAGGGTGTCTGTGTCCTGGGGTGAGGACACAGCCTACTGGACGCTGGGCATTGGGTGCGGCCTCAGCCTCAGGCATTTCTGAGCACTCCCTCAATGCTGGGTTCTGCAGCTGCTGCTCCTCTCACTCAAGCCTCCTCCGCCCTGAGCCACTGTGGGTCAAGTGGGAGGAGGTTATCATCAGGACTTTGGCCCAGATCCAGATGAGGAAAGCTGTGATGTACTGAGCACAGATAGGGAGAATTTGGGGTTTTCTCCCCAACTGCTCTCTCTCCATATATACATCATATTTCATAACAAAACAGCTGTTTCCCTTGTATACCTATTCACCTTTCATTCTCCCTGAATAATGTGACTCAAGAAATGGAACAGACTTTCAAGGGAACCTTTACCCATCACTCAGGAGGTGCATCATTATGAGGGTGTCTGTGGGGAGGTTTTAGATCATGGAAGAAATTTTCCAGCAATGATCTAGTTAGAAACTAAAATCTTACTTTGCAAATAAGGCTTTCAAATCTAGTAGTTTTATTATTTTTAAAAGATGTCAATCAGTCCGCAAAAATATCTGTGATTAACTCAGATGGTATTCCTTGATGACCAGTTATACATAACCTGCTGCATCTACCACACATGCATCCAAATGCTTTGGAAAAGGAAAAAAAAAATGTAACACATCTGGTTTTGTAAACAACAGTCACGGAAAATGTTACCCTTGGGGTGGAAAATAATGTAAAGTCACTCAGTTGGAACCGCCCACTCAGTATATTTTAATGTTGTTTCCCTTTGCCTCCTGTTCTTTCCAACACTAATTTTTCGTGATTGCCCTTAAAAGTGAGGCAGACATATGAGTTTCCATTACATATAGCATGCAGTAGAAGCACCCAGATGGGCTGACTGTGTAGCATACAGATAGTCAAAATCAGGTTTGTTTTTCACTGGATTCATCTGTCCACAGTAGTGAAAGCAAAGCTCTGTGTGCACAATGCCATATGTCCAAGGACAGAAGATTAATGAGCTCTACTGTAAGCGACAGCTGTTTACTGAGAGTGAACATTCTTGATTAGAAGATTTGCCTCTCTGTTAGTGGCGTGGGTATTAGCCAGGAAGCCTGGGTGCAAGAGCCAGCCCACGTGTCTTACAGACCTGCTGTGCAGAGCTGGGGCCTCTTCAGAAGCATGAGAACCTCATAAAGCATTAAACAGCTTGGGAAACAGGGCCAAATCGCTTTCTCAAGGATAAATGAGCAAGTAACAAAATTTCTTAGGCCTTGTTTTTTTGATTTGTGTCATATCACACATTCTCATTATTGAATGTAGTAGATGGCAACATTTATCATGTCCAGAGAGATAAAAAATAAAATTACATGTACCAGTGTACCTTGGGAACAATTCAGGGAAGATCATCAGGTTGGCAAACATTTGGCTGTGTTCCCTGCTTCCCAGTCTTCAGTTACATGATCTTGTGGCAGCGACCTGGTTATTCTTGAGCACAAAAAGCACTTTGAGTTTGCCTCTCTACCTGAAAGAACAGAAGCCAAGAATGCACAAGAGCCATGTGGATGGTTCTCACTGTGCTCCAACACACTTGCTGCTTTTTTGTTGGGCATTTAAGGTCAACATTCCTAAGGCTGTTTATGCATTTTTTACTTCTTAGTAATTCCTGAAGTCAGGGTTTTTAACTCAGGTGATTCGTGGTGCTGGAATTGTGACCCTATGGTTCTGACAACTAGTCTTCCTGGCATTAGGTTAATTAGAAGATAATTTACTTTTTCATTCAGGAATGTGACATTCATAATGAGCTGATGTTGTGGCTCAGTGGTAGAGCACTTGCCTAGCATGTACGAGGCACTGGGTTCAATTCTCAGTACTACATATAAATAAATAAATAAAATAAAGGTTCATTGACAACTAAAAAAATTTTTTTAAAAAAGAATGTGACATAGTATTCTTAATTAAAACAAATAAGTGTAAAATGAAGAACCTAACATAAAATTCATAGCCTGGGCTAAAGGAATGATGTTTCATGTCTGTCTCTAAGGGTTCATCTGCTTCTGGTCACTGAAGCATCTCACCCAGTCCAGCCTCAGGGCTGAGTAGAATCTGAATACCTGAGTAGAATCTTGTCCCTAACCTAGGGCTTGGCTGCAGTGTTGGTACCTGGAGGGGCTGCCCTGAAAGTCAGCTCTGTCCTCCAGCCACAGAGCCTTTGGTTTCCTGGTCCTGGACCTTGCCCAGCTCTAGTACTAGCAGTAGGACTTTGTGGCTGTCTTCATCCCCTCTTTATGTGCTACAGAAGATTTAAAAAACAACTTCATTAAAGATCTCTTCTGTCAAATGAGGCCTGTATGTCAGAACTGTGAATTTCCCTAATTTTTTTTTTTTTTTAAATAAGAAAGCTCTTCTCTCGAGTCTAGATAGCATTTGCATTTCCATTTTGCATGGTATACCATTGTTACTTCTTTGGACTCCTCAGCTTTACAGCCTCACCTAGGAGACATGCCAGAGAACCAGACCAGAGCTCATAATTGTGAAACACATGATTTAAATTTTTTTTCTTCTTCCATATTTTTTATTGGTGCATTATAGATGTACATAATAAAATACTTGATTTTGCTATGAATTTATTAATATTTCTATGACTCTGCAAATTGCACAAGCATAGATAAAAATTCATATATACCTGAGGGTACTCTCTTTGCCCTTCATCCTGCCTTCCAGAGTTAACCACAGCTGGCTGTTTACAATATACTTTCCAAAGTGGTAAAGCTTTAAGCCTTGCTAAGAATTGATTTCTTCCCAAAAGGGCCACCTGATTTTCATCAGACCTTCCCTGATTTCTTAGGCCTGTGAGCTGACGACTCAATGTTTATGAAGTATTTAACATGTACTACACTAATTCTTTCACGTACCATATTTGTTCTTGGTGAAAATTATGAAGAACGCAGGCACAGAGCCCTCCTGAATGGTACCCTGGGCACATTCTTGCCCAGAGGGTAAAGGACTTTTGTACATAAATGAAACTATCATTCCTGAAAACTTCCATCACAAATTATATTTTCAGGGTCAGTCTTAAATGGCCCATTCTCTTTTATCTATAGAGGGAATATTGGTTTTAGAAAAGAATCTTAAAATTAGTCTGAATGTAACAGTGAAGGTAAGAAGGACAAATGGCTTATTTATAAAAATGTTGCTGGATGTGTGAATGTTTCTGGCTAATCTCAAGGTAAAAGTCTTGGGTAAAGGTCTTGTCTCAGCTTCCTGCTCATGAGGAGTTGTCTTTACTGAATGCTGCATGAAGTCCCCCTCTTTTGTGTATCAAGTAGAACTATGCATGCATGGTTGGGGGTCAGGGCAGCTACTGTAGCATTGCAGAATTCCCCTGCCTGTGTGGGATAACATAAGTAAGTAGGAGGCTGAGGCCATCAACTCTATTTTGTGATTGGCTTTTTGTGGGTCAACCATAGCAGCAGGTCAATATGTCTATTTTAACTTTAGATTAAACCTGTCTCCAAAGTTAATGGATCTGAGGCAAGCCAAGTAGAGCTAATGGTGGTATGATTCCATCTGATGCACATCTTAGAAAACTATGAGTCTGAAAAATAGCTGGCATTGTATCACAAATATATGGGCATATTACCTTATCTAATACTCCCCTTTTACTTTCTATGAATAATTTTTACTGTAGACTTGCATAGCAGTCTGATTGTTTGAAAGCCAGTTTTGAACCTGTTATAATGTGTGACACATTATAGTGCAGCAAAGCTCCTGATCTCAATTTTAGGATTATTTTAAGCCTTACCCAAGAGAGATGAGCCACGAAGGGCAGAAATGCCTTTAGAGAAGGAAATGGTGAAGCCTTTGCTAGAAAACCAATCAGCTGATCTGTGAAGAGATTGGAAAGTTGTGTTTTTGAGTTGAACCTTACCTGTACTTCACAAATGTACAAGCCAAAAGGTTGCACAGCTGGGCCTCTGGCACAGAAGGTTCTGAAAGCTCCATATCCAAGATGATTTTCAGTATTAAAAAAAATCTAAGTGGGCCTGAGTCTTAATTTGATTCCTGACTTGATTTTGGTCATCATTTTACCCATTGCCTGGCCCAGCAAGGGGCACCACCAGGGGAAAAAATGAATAAAGTGACCTTTCAACATTTTTTCAGGATAGCTTACTATTATTTCCCTTGATATAGGAAATGAAATTAGTTTCATAGAGATTAGATGGCTTTTCTAAGGCAAAGTTAAAAGAAAAACCTTGGCAAGGTATAATGTCAGAATTTGAATATTCCAGGGTTGGTTTGTCTGACCTTAGTGGTGACGGGCCTAAATTGTGGTCCAGGCTCTTATCTCCTTAACAGAGACCTTGGTAATCCCTGATCACTAGAAATAGTTTTTCTTTTGCAAAACAGGGAGCATGACAGTTTGCACCCCGTATTGAGGAAAATTGTAAATAAGGTCCTATAGGTAAATAACTGAGCAAAATTCCTGGCACATAAGAAATAATATCAGTGATTGTTATAACTGTGTGTGTGTGTGTGTGTGTATATATATATATATATATATATATATATATATATATATATATATATATATTTTTTTTTTTTTTAGAAAAATCATGCTCACCCATGGCTCATTATGGTCTCTAGAACTATTGAGCAAAATTCTTGGCACATAGGAAATAATATCAGTGATCGTTATTACTATATATATATATATATATATATATATATATATATATATATATAAATCTTTTAGAAGAATCATGCTCACCTATGGCTCATTATGGTCTCTAGAACTATTGACCCAAACATCGATTCTGACTGTTGTGCATTCACAGCAGAAGTTGCCCTGGATTCCTGCCATGTCACACACTGCTCCTGGGTGATTATGATAACAAATACCAATAGCGTGGGGTGCTCTGGGTTCTTATTCTGTTTGGCATCTTTCCCCAAAGCAATTTTGGAGCTCATTCTATGTTGATTAATATTGTCCTGGGATCTTAGGATATTTTGTTGGTTACTCTGACCTAAATATGCATAAATTTCATTGAATTTGATATCTACTAATACCAAAAATGTATTCAATAAAATTTATGACCTAAATGTGCATAAATTTTATTGAATCTGATATCTACTAATACCCAAAAGTACTTGCTTTGCATCCAGAGAAACCAAAATTTTAATTTGCCAAAGGACTATAAAGTTCTGATTCTAATGTTATTAGCAGTCACATGATATAGGGGCTAAGAATAGCACATATTGAACCATATATGGATTGGGATTCATAGAAAGTTATTGATTATATTTAAGAATGTATTATGTGGTTCTCTACTTTCTCTTTGGTGAAAATTAGATGACAGCCCCAAAGACTGGGTCAAATTTATTTTCATTATTTTATGCTTTAAATTCTTTTGATGCAAAAAGTGTGATTTTTATGATGGAAATATTAAGAAAATATCATAAAATGCACTTTTTTTCATCAAATTCTCTGTGAAGATGTACATTTCTAAGAAGAGTGTCACAACACTTCTTCATCAATTGCATTTATATAATTTTGGGGTTTTTTATAAAAACTTTTATATTTTTAGATATTCTTGGTGTGGAATTTTGTAAAAAATGTTCTGCATTTAGGTTTCACACAGTTCATGAGCCTCTATCTTCTGGAGTGTAGTGGTAACTTATTTATACTCAGATGGTTGGAAGGATTGTAGGATCCTTAGAAGGTTCTCTGTCTGATGAAGTTTTCAAATGATAACTTATTTGTGCTCGTACTGCCTTTTGTTCTGAGTAAAAATTGTTGTTCAAGATGAGAAAAACTCAAGAGCAATGAATACTAACAAATAGGCTTTTCTCCTCCATCACAGGTCTCCTATCTGATGTCATAACTTCTTAAATTACAAGGACAACTACAGAGTTTTCAGTTAATTTGCTTATATTAAGTAATTTTCTAGTCTACCTGTATTTAAATCTAAACATATCCCAGGTATCATAAATTCTTCTCATATTTGTATAGCCTTTGTGTGTGTTGAGGGGATCAGCTAGATGATTTTAGAAGGATGACTAAGAAGACTTGTGAGCATGCAGGATCTGAGCGGGACCCCATGCCCTTACTAATTGGGGCAGCGAGGCTCACTGAGGATGGGGTTCTGCCTGACAGTGTGTGCTCTGTCTTGTTGAAATTGAGCTTGTCTGCATGTAACCGGACTTAGAGAGTTTTTATTCCTCCTGCTTCATAAGTGAGCCAAACAAGAATGTCCTGGGAGCCCAGGATGCACTCTGGTGCTTTCTGCTTGAGACAAGAGGCCCACGTGGTCTGTATTAACAAGGAATCATAATTGACTCAGTGTATTTAATTTATTTGGATAAACCTTTCTGATATAATGCCTATGCTTGCACAAACTAAGATAGAAATCATGGTTTTGAAATTTACCTTCAAAGGGCTGGACAGGTCTTAGGAAATATGTCTTTTATGTGAGATAAACAGGTCGATAATAAAAACCCATTCTCCATTGACCAGACATGTCTGCATGCTTAACCTGAGCCAAGGATTGTGCAGAACACTGGAGATGTGGGGGTAGGTCAGGGCTGCCTCTCCCTCAGATGCGTACAGAAGTGGTAATGGTGGTGGGACAGGAACAAGATGAGCAAGTAGAGGTGGTTGTCATTCATGAGATTAGTGAGACCAGTCCAGAGTACTGAGGCAGAAAGGGAGGGCTAGTAATTCAGTCTCAGGGGACCACAACAAAGCCTGCAGAAAGCAGGGTAAGCATTTTACTATTGGTTCTAATTGTGATCCACCCAAAGTACCCTCCCAACCTCATGCCATGCTTGTTGCTGATAAAACAGTTTGGTGACCACAGTCCAAGTATGGCCACCCTATAAATATAGGAGTAACTAGGCCTTCATGATTTCTCTTCTAGTCTGACAGCCGTCACTAGAGTGAAAGCACGTATGGAGGAGAGTGTGGATCTTGTGTGGATCTTGAATGGATGGATCTTCTCATGTCCGCAATCCCTTGGCAGAGCAGCAGGCACAACTCAGTTCTAGATGTCTGAAGACTCATAGGGTGTCCTGGCAACCCTGGCTTTAGAGCCACCTGTGATTTTCTGCCGTTTCCTCATTTCTGCCCCTTGGGGCCCTGGGTACCTCTCTGCTTCAGGTGCCCACAGCATTGGCCTAAGTTTCAGCCCCTGAATGCAGCAGGGTACAGGCGAAGCCTTCCCTCAGCCTCTTCTGATCCAGCAGTCCCCAGGAGACCAATGGCCAGCAGTGAGATCCTTTACTCTCACCTAAGTGTAGACCACCCACCCACCCTGCACTCTGCCAGCAGCACCTGGGAAGCAGCCCCAGGGCCCATTGGCTGCGAGAGCCTCTCTTTTTCTAACATAATGGATGCTCTTCACTGAGACAACTGAGCCTGACCTGCTGTTCCCACAGGTGGTGGAAAACCAGCAGCTGTTCAGCGCCCTCAAGGCCTTGCTAGAGGACTTTCGCTCAGAGCTGCGGGAAGATGAGCATGCCCGGCTGCGGCTGCAGCAGCAGTATGCCAGCGACAAGGCCGCCTGGGACATGGAGTGGGCCATGCTCAAGTGCCGCTTGGAACAGGTACCCATCCCACTTGGGTCTCCCTGCTCCTGACCACCATGTTTCCACTGTCCTGTTAAGGATGGGTGGGGAAGAAGCACAGATAGCCCTAATCCAGGAGAAAGGAGAGGAATGGCTGCTTGTGGCCTCCTTAAGTTTAGTGCCCAACCTTTCCCAGGCCCCTCATGTTTCTTAATATCCCCATCCTCAAGCATGAAACACAGCCTCCACTAAGGAGCATTTATCATAGCTTTATTCATCCATTCTGCACTCAGCAAGGTTGTAGGGCTCACCATAGGAGGATGACCAGCTTGAAATTGTCATCATGCTGAGCTGACATAAATCTAGACAGGAGAAAGCAGGAGCAGACTGTGGTTTAATGATCTCTGAGAAAGGTGAACAAATGCTAATCCTTTAGATTTTCCAAAATATTGGAAAGAGCTTTTAGACCTTCCATTGCATGCCCTTGGAAGCCCCATCAGTTCCTATCTCCTTTTTACACCAAAGGAAATCGAGGCCCAGAAGAAACAACTTGCTTCAGATCTCAGAGCTATATAGTACTGCAGGAGCCCAAGTGTCCTGCATTCTCTGAGATTTCATACCCCAGCCTATAGAGTTAAGATCAAACAACAAGAGACAGCCTTTCTTAAGTGTTTCTTCCCTGGAAATCCTTTAAAGTTAGATGTTTCCTATAGTGTGCTGCTCATAGTCTCATTCAGCTCCTTGAATATGAGGAGGGAAGGAAGAATTGTGTATCTGCTATCATCTATTTCCTAGGCTCTGTTTGGAGGCAAATCATAAAGTCATTAAAATTTTATAGGAATTGGCTCAGTCATGAAAGAAAAAAAAAAAAAAAAGGAGACATCTTTTGATCAGTCTTGATAAAAGACAAAGAGTCTTTCATGTCCCCAACTCTCTTGGTTCCTACATGTTCACCTGCACTGCCACCTGGCCCCAGGTACCCACAGTTCACCTACATTGTCACCTGACCCCAGCAACAGTGGGGTTGGGCTAACAGTCCTGTGTGGAGCCAGGGACACAATATTCCAGGTCAGACCCATCAGGTGTTAGAGCCATGAGCTGGTGTGGCTACTGTCCACTGCTGGTAGGGGATGCTCACTGGATGCTCTATTTATCTTAGTACACAGCATGCAGAGTCAGCCGAGGAGGAGAAATGAGTAAGCATGCTCTCTGATTAGCTGCCTTTAAACCTATTTAAAGATATGTGCTCGGGGTAAAGGGTGCTAAATATTTTCAGAGATACAAGTGTAGCTAAAGAAGGGAGATATAATCTTTGATGCAAGCCAGTTTCAAAACATTTCATCTTTGTTTTAGAGAAACCTGGTATCCGCCCACATGTTTGCTACAAACAAAGCCTCAGGGAGAGTCACCACACACCAAGAAACAAAGCTAGGGCTTCAAACCTAGAAGGCAGTGGTACTAGGTAGAGCTCTTCTTCTGCCCAAATTGTTTAGGAAGTTTCTTCAACATGTGAAGCCCAAGAAGCAATGAATGCGGGCTAGGGCTAGTCCATATGTAATCATCCCATCTTGATCCACTTCTACCTACATGCAAAACAGTTTAATTCTAAAATTTAAATATTTTCTTTCAGTGAAGCCCATCTTATGTCAGTTCCCAAATTGGTGATTGTTTTAACTGACATGAAAGTCAGACCTTGTTCCAGCTGCTGAGGATTCAGCAATAATACCACATTCCTCAAAGGGGCTTCCAGTGCAGTATGGCTATTGTTCATAGTGGTACAGAAAGTACCTGCTTGTTTGTGCATGGCCCATGAGGAACTGGAGTAAGCAGGCCACACACCTCAGCTTGAGGCTCAAGGAAAGTCACTGGTGTAGGTGCTGAGAATGAATCAGAAAGGATGGCTGGGAGTTGCTGCATGCAGAAGGAGAATGAGGGTTTTTTTTAAATTATTATTACAAGCAAAAAATGGGACAACATGAAGAAGAGAATGTGGCTCATTTGAGGAGCTCAGATATGAGGAGGAAAGAAGAGTGTTGAAAGAATTGATAACTGAAATCTCAGTTTTGTCATGGAAGTTTAGATTTCTTTTTTAAAAAGATTACTCCAGCTTCAAGGTAGAGCGTGAATTAGAAACCATTAGAGTTGGATGGATTAACTGGGGGGTCTATAGATTGAGATCAGGGAACTGCTGAACTAGAACAAGAAAAAGTTTTGTTTTGTTTTTTAATGGTGCTGAGGATTGAACCCACGGTCTCCTGTATGCTCTATCACTGAGCTACACCCCTAACTTTTTGATGCATCTTTACATTCACTAAACCCTCACTAAAATTTAGTGTGCTCTCTGAACATAAATGTGGGCAACAGGCCTGTAGAAATCACAGGTCTTTTCATTTCATATTTCAGTTATTGTGGTAATGAGAAGGAGACCTTTGGCTTCAAAGGTCTAGGAATAGTAGAACAGGTGAGAAATGGGTTACTTTAAAGAAAACGGTAACCATGAAAGTGGAGATGAGGGTGCGATTAAAAGGAAAAAAATAAATAAAAAGTAGAAAGTAGCAGGACCTGGTGACCCTTTAAATAGATGCTGTGGAGTGGCAAGCAGCTAGCAGGCTCTTGGGTTTCTAGTGTGGGTACCTGGGTGATAGTACTCTTCACCAAGACAGGGACCAGGGAGAGAAGACAGTTGAGCTGGAGAAGGAAGAGGCTGGATTTGAAGGGTCTACCTTGATAGGTAAAGGGGAAATAGCAGGCCAGGCTAAAGATATATGTATGGTCATGGATCATTAAACAACAGGAACGCATACTGAGAAATTTGTCATTATGAGATGTCCTCGTATGAATATCATAGAATATTCTTAAACTAAGATGTCTGTTCTTCGTTGGCAATATAATCTCACAAGAACACTGTAGTTCTTGTAGTCTGTTGTTGACTAAAATGCCTTTATGTGATTCATGGCTGCACCTGAGAATAAATAGGTGGTAGTTCAAGTCATGGCTGTGAGTGGAATCCTCAGAACCATGCAGAATAAGAGAGGCTCAAAGAAGGAACTTGAAATAGCAGCCAGAAAAATGAGCAACCAGAGAAATCTATGGAAATCCAGGAACAAATGTTGTCCCAGAACCCAAGAGAAGAGAGGCCACAGAATTCGATGGAGTTTGACACAGATGCTTTGGAGAGGTCAGGATGGATAAAAGCTAAAAGAGTTTTGTTGAACTGATAATTAGGATGTCACTGGAAAAGTTAACAGCAGTCCTCACTGGACTCTGGGGCTAATGCATGTTACAATGCAAGGGGAGTAAAGGAAGAAAGAGGGCAGCCTCTTAAGTGAAAGGAGATGGTCATGGGAGTATGCTGACTTGTTTTTAGAAGTCAAGGGGGACTTTATTGTGTGGGGTTATCAAAGACAATAGGATTCATAAGTCAGCTGCTGGATTGGGATCTGAGTAGAGACGAGCAGGGAAATGAGGGGTTCTGATACAGAGGAGTTTGCTGTCACTGTGTCTGTGAGCAGGTTAGCAGAAGTCATTTGCTGTCGTGGAATGGTAACTGCTTGAGGAGATGCCAAAGAGGAAGAGCTGATTGCTAGACAGCACTTGGGATCTGTCTGCAAAAGCATCAGCACCACGTCTTTCACTTTGGCTTATATGGATTGCTCAGAGAGAGCTGTAGTAAATTGAAATTCTATGGAAGTGCATGGTTCCTAATTATCTTCTGTCTAATTGTGAATGTTTTGCCCCTATTTTGTTTCTGTATTATCTTTCTACTGTAAAGAAAAGTATCATCACCACCACTACCACCACCACCCCACCACCTGCACATACACATTTTATAACCAACTGATCAATAGCATCCATTGGTTCTGCTCTTCACCTTCATCTGTCACTATCCCAGCCTGTCACTGTCCAACTGTTATTGTCCTCCTCAGGAGTTTGCCTGCCCCACCCAGCCCCAGACCTCAGACTCCCTCTGTTCCTCTCCACGCAGGCCAGAGTCCCACTGGGAAAGCAGCATGAAGTTCTTGCCTTTATTACAGAGTTGAGGCTCTTTGTTTGTTCTCTCCCCACACATCCCTTGTGGGCAAGAACTTGCTGTTAAACTGACCAAATCCTTAGCAACCTGATACCGGCAGATGGGCTTTCTGAATAATACTGGCTAGCTGAAGTCTTTGAGCAACTGATTTCAAAATAGTTGAAAGTATCTGTTTAGACATAGATAATAAGCTATTAAATGGTTTTAGTAGGTCTTTGAATAGCTTCATGTATGAATAATGAAAGGAAGTCTATTTAATTTGCAGCGTTTACTGGTGACATTAACTCATAGCTAAAAATTAAAGAAAACCCACCCTGTTTCTAGTTTCAACTCTGTTAATAACTGACCACGTCTTTAGGAAAGTCCTTTAAGACTTTTTTGGCTTCTATTTCTTTATTAGTGGATTGGAAATAAGGTCATCCTATGGGATTGCTGTAGAACCAAATGGGGAAATATATGTAAAAAGCCCTTTATTTAGAAAGCGTAAAACTATAATATTTTAAAATTTTGCATTTAACAAATATAAGAGGTAGTTTATTAGTATAAAAACAAGCCACACAACAGCAGGCCCAGGTCCTTCCTCCTGTCCTTTATGCTGTTACCGTCATAATTTACTTCTACCTATTCTTTGAGCACACTGTGCATTACAACTATTTTTGTTTCCAGTTAGTGATGTTTAAAAGCAATTACAAAGAAGGAGAAAATGAGTTTTATACTTACATTTATTTATGCCAATTCCATTGCCTACTCTTTGGGTAAATCAAAGCATCTGTTGGTATCATATTCCTTCTGTCTGAGGAATTTCCTCTGGCATTTCTTGGAGTGCAGGTCTTCTGACAAGTATTTTTTTTTTCCATTTTTGTTTGTTTGGTAGTATTTTTCCTTTGTTTTTGAAGTATGTTATATCTGGGTATAGAATTCTATCTAGTTTGACCAGCAGTAAAGGATGTCACTCCATCATCCTCTGACTTGCATAGTTTTTGATGAGAAGTCTTTTGTAATTCTCCTTTGAGAACAGGCAGAGTATAGACTGTTTAGTGGTCATGGAAATCAAAAGTACTCAGATAAAAAGAAAATTGGGCTATTTACAAAAAAAATTTTTGTTTAAATGTTGATGGACCTTTATTTTATTCATTTATTTATGTGCGGTGCTGAGAATCAAACCCAGTGCCTCACACATGCTAGGCAAGTGCTCTACCACTGAGCCAAAACCCCAGCCCCAAATTGGGCTATTTTATGATTCTTGTTACATCATGATGTTTCATGGGCATCCAGGGAAAGAAGGACAAATACTAGACTCTCTACCATTAGAGACCTATACCTATGCCCTAAGCTCTATTTCCTTTCTACATCACGTGTCTTTTTCTCTGTCAGCCTTTAACAGTTTCTCTTTATTTTTCACCAGTTATATATTTAAACTATATTTAAAAGATGTAAATAGACATTTTGTTTGTTTCTGGTATTTAGCGTCCTGGGTGTTTGACAAATACTATTTGAAGACTATTAGGTTCCATTGCTGTCCCATCCCCAGGTTCCATCTAGGGACTAAGGAGATAGGGATAGATATGGTACTTGCTATTGAGAGCTGTACAGACAAGAGTTGGTGGTGGCTTGGTGGGAAGGGAGCTGAGAAGGCAACCATAGGAAAGTACATGGGCTGGCTGATCAACATTCTAAGTGATTCTCTGTGTCAAAGGTTCTTAATTCAGACTTTAAAAACAGTATTTGTTTCTTCCGTGGGTTTTGGTCCAGTATTGGTTTAAGCATGTTTCTAGGGATCATATGTAAATATGCTAAACCTCTTTTCACCCTTTAATGCCAGACTGGTCAGGGAAATGAGTTCCTGAGCCTTTTCTCTTTGACAGCTGGAAGAAAAGACTGAGAAAAACTTAGGAGAGCTTGACTCCTCCACCGAGAGCAAAGGGGCCTTGAAGAAGGAGAGGGAGGTGCACCAGAAGCTTCTGGCTGACAGCCATGGCCTGGTTATGGACCTGCGCTGGCAGATTCATCACAGTGAGAAGAACTGGAACCGAGAGAAGGTAGAACTTCTCGATCGCCTGGACAGGGACCGTCAAGAATGGGAACGGCAGAAGAAGGATCTCTTGTGGAAGATAGAACAGGTAAGCACACACCCCAGATACCAAGGAACAGGCAGGGTGTGGACTGCTCTATGGTCCTGGAAATCAAGAGTACTCAGAGGAAAAAAAGAAAATCAGGTTACTTTATGCTCCTCATTGCATCAGGATTTCATGAGTGTACAGAAGAAGAGGGAGAAATATCAGAATCTCTAGTAGTGAAGACCTACTCCTATGCCTAGCATTGTACAGATGTTTTTGTTGCAAATTTTATGGGCATCTTTCCTGTGTATGCAGGGATAGAGGGTAGCTTTTTAAAGGAATCTGAAAACAAAATTTCACCAAGGAGGTTATTTCAGGTCGTATTCAGTGGTTTCTGCCAAAAAGCAAACTAATGTTTAAGTTAGCCACTAAAAATGTGGTCACAGTGACTGCTCCAGCTCAAATAGAATTGTAGTCATTAGGTAAAGAAATTGCCGAGTTAAGTTGAAAGTTAGGCTATTTGCTGTGATTGTACCTGCTGTGATTATTGCTAAGCTGTGATTAGGTAGGAGTTGAGTCAATGGAGTTAGCTGGTAGCTCATCATCTTCAGCTAAACAAACAATTGGGGCACTCAGATGAATGTGGAGGAGATGGGGAGTTGTTTTTCTACTGCCTAGATAATCAGTCCCTACATTGCATCAGACAGAACAGTTTGCATAGTTGTGGTAGTTCACAGGTGATGCACAGATTTGGTTTTCACATTACACTGATGAATATTTGAAATTCCTCCATGGCTGGATTTTTACCTAGCAAATAGTTTTTTTCCAGCCTATCATATTTATAAATTCACAAGGCTTCAAGGAGATGTATCAATCAGAAACTGAGATCAGTAAAAATAACCTCATTACTCCATTATAAATACACATACTGCCTGCATCTAAGTGGGACCCTTTTAAAAAGGGTCCCACTTATATGGATAAGAGATGGTGCGTGTTACATAGGAACAATGACAAAGATAGGTTTAAACATAATGTCAGCTAGGAAGGGAAGAAGAATAGATTAAGTGGTTTTAAAAAATAAGTCCAGGAGGAAGAAAGTGCACTGCAGATAGATAGGAGCAGTTCTTCCTAGATCTGACCACTCACACTAACGAGTCATGTTGCTAATATTTGCACGCCATTTCAAAATCCCCCAAATCCTACCAGGAGAAAAGTTGGCATTTTCTGTTTGGCTCAGAAATGCAGCACCTGTGAAGAGTTTTCCATATAAAATCCCAAGTGTCTGTGATCTGCTGAGTGAATTGGTCAGTTAGGTGGAAATTTCAGGGGTAGAAGTAGCATGTATTTTTACAGAAATGGTCACCAATATATCATATCTTGTTTTAGTTGACTAGTGTTGCAGTAACCCCAGATAGCTTATTACCAGGGACCTTCCCTCTTGACCTCTGCTCTAGGATCACTTGCCTTGTATGTCCCTCCTCTCTACTCCTGTGAAGGACATCATGTTTCTGCCATAGCCCTCTCAATGTCCCCTTTAAGCAAGTCTTTTAGATACTTATTCTACTTTTAGGAATGCAAGTGAGACCCACCTGATGACACTGAGCTTTTGAAGTGTCAGAGACCTTAGGATGAGCTGTTCCCTTGTTCTGAGACTATATTCTGGAGAGATAAGGATGGTCAGGAGCTGAACTCCATTTCCATAACGTCGGTATTGCAACAATTCTGTTAGAGAGACAGCCTCAGAACTTCTGTCTGGATTAATACCTTGGAATATCCCGGATCTAAGCCTGTGAGTTTCAGGCATTTACCTGCTGCTCAGACTTGGGTGACGGATCCCATTTTGTTTTAGAAGAGGATTGATTTAACACTGAGTAGAGGCTTCAGGTTCACCATGGTGGCTTTCACAAATAAGTTGAACCTTTCTTCCCAGATAGTCAACATTTTAAAAGAAGATTTTATAAATCTTGGTGCCTAGTCCCAAGAGTTGGGTATAGCACGTACAGGAATTCTCTGTAAAAGAGGACATTGGATCAAGTATGTATGGGTGTGTATATACATGTGCAAGTGTGTGCAGATTTTGTTTATCACTTACTGGGTTGTTAGTTCACTTGACTTTGAGCTACACATTCCATAGTTAAGGAAGAAATGTAACTGAGCATCCATCACAATGACTACTCTCGATATTTGACTCCTTGGTAAGCCATGTAACCTTGGCTATGATAACCTAGTACAGATGGTGAGAGAAGTCACTCTAAATCCATTTTCCACTTCTAGAACACATGCTTCATACTTGTCCGGTGTCATTAAATTCCTACATAATTTCTGCACCACATGAGGCATTTTATATGACAAATGAGTGTGGGAATGTGGTTCAGGTCCTGCAATGCATTTCATCCATCTTATCCACGTCTCTTGTCTCAATCCACATTTGATTGGGGGGGTAGTTAACTTTGATGGAGTCACACTACATTTCTCCTTAGAATTGCTAAGTTTCCAGTTAGACATGCACATAATGTCACTTGCTGCTGTACTTGCTATACTTACAGAGCTAAAAAGGAAAGCTCATGTGTCATCCATTCGCCTTCCAGTGATTTTCTTAAATCAGCTGCCTTTACAACTTGAAAGGCCCTTATTTTAAAACCAGTTAACAAAGCAACCTTTTTTCTTTCAACCAGCCTGGGTAAGGTGATACTCTTGAAGGCTTATTGTGCCTCACATTATTTGAAATGCAAATCTGTTAAATTTTCTATTTGTATTAAACATTTTCTGCTGCAAGATTGCAAGTACAGGGTGCTGCCGCCTGGTTTGAAATGACTGCCCTAGGAAACCCTATCTTTTAAGGACCCATTATTCTATTACCACACTGCAGAGGCATCTTAGCCACAGATACCTCTAGCTACAACCACTCCAGTTCATTTTTAGGAAACCTAACACTTAGCAGCTTTAGTGCAAGCTGTTCCTGGCTGCCTGGGTTTATTTTTGAAATCCCACTTTACTGAGTTAGAACGCGCTTGTTCATAGCTCTCCTCTTTAGTCATTTTTTCTCCCTCTTCGCACACACCCTCAGAGCACATTTAGGCTTCCAATGTGATTCTTGCATTTTAATTCCTTGCCCAAAATAGCTTGGAGATGATCATGTGTTAAAATGAAATTGCGCTGACATGCATTAAATGAACATAATTAAAAGCTTTCCTTTTTTTTATTTATTTTTTTAAGAAAAGCATTTAGCATATTTAAGAGAACTGCAAAGAACTGTGTCATTGAGGAGGGGGATGAGAGGAAAGAGGGGGCTGAGCTAAAACCTAGAGTGATTTGCTTGTTCCCTACTTTGACTGTGAACCTGCGTCAAAACCCTAACATCTATGCCCTGCATGCAGAATCTCCATCTTTCTCATAAAATATAAAGAAAACCTCAGAAATTACTAAAAACAGTGAAAGTTCTTTTGTCCCCATTATCTCTCTTGGCTTTCTTCCTGATGGCTTACAGGGCATACTTATATCCAGCTTGTGGATAAAGGCTTGAATTAGGACTCTTAAGATGCAGTTTGTGTACATGCTTTCTTAAAAATCCATTGGTCCACATTCAGAGGAGTTTTAGAATATCCTGGCACCATCTTAGCACTTTAGGACTGCAAATATTTGCTTGGTCCCCACTCAGGTCAAATCCAAATGTCACTTTCATTATTCAGATAATTTACATATTCAAAAGATCAGGCAATCCAGGAGAGTATGTGAGCTCCTCATCCAGTAAAGACCTCATTAGATATTCGTAGGTGGAAATAGCTTCAGGTCCCAATTGTGCTTTCTGTACGTGTTTAGTAACAGAGGCAGTGAGGCAAGACTGGAGAAAGGAAGGGAGACTGGTCATAGTTTTTCTGGGAAGTATTTGCCTGTCTGCCTCAATCGTCTCCCGTGATTTTAAGTAGCTTCCTTTATGAACTGCCCCTAGGAGATCTCCCAATGCTGTTAAAAAAAAAAAAAAAAAAGCAGGAAAATCATTTACCTGCATGCCCCTGGTCTTTACTTGAGCTTTATAGGTGTCCGGCCCCTCTGGGCTGCACCTTGCTTGCTGACCCCTGTCTGCCTATCCCCATTTTACAGATGAGGAAACTGAGCTGAGCAGAGTTGGAACTTCAACCTGTCACCAAACAAGCAAAGCCATAAATTCATGGCTCTAGTTCACATCTTCTAAATCCTAACTTTCCTGTGCTTGCCCATTACTGCTTAAATTTATCAAGTCAGGCAAAGAAGTGTAACAAGAACATATGTGGCAGTTTTCTTCTGCATCATACCAGATCTTTAGTTGCCTTTACCACAGAGCTTTAATCCTCTCCAGCAAAGTGGAAAGTATTTTTAATGCCAAATGATTATAACCCTCTTTGATCATTCAGGTTTTACATAGGACCTTGTACCAAATGCTTTGGAAAAAGGTTAGGAAAGTTAGGAAAATCAGATGCGCCCTCAGAAGTTTTTATATCAGTGATGCTATTCCATCAAGTGTGCCTTAATCGCTGAAGGTAATTCCGAGAGAGTTCTAAACATATTTAATTTTCAAAGGACAAATATGTAAATCTCATGAGCATGGTGCTAAAAGGTATGAAAAAAACCCATGTATTTTAAAATTAAGATGAAGAAAAAAATCAAAGAAATATTTGCATCAGAGTTGGCAAAAATACTTGTATGTGGTAACTGTAGACTTTTCTAGTTTTGTGCTTTGTTGAAAGCATGTATGGCATTGTGTTACATTTTGAACTTAAGGTCAGAACTGTAAGAACATTTCTTTCTTGCCCAGTCTTTCAGATGGACCCACAGGTAATCCTACTTTGTGTAGAAAGGATGGTCTTAGGAGGACCATCAGACTGAAAAGCAAGGCTAATTATTATTTCCATTTTTAAAACTCTCAAGTTGCAGAAAGAGAGCAGTCCTCGGAGAGGTAGCAATTTCCTATGTGATCAAAAAGAAGGAAACGTCCGTTCCTTTCCCCATCAAGGAGGGCTCCGCATGCCCCGTCCCATGGCGATATGGCCCTGCGCAGACACTGACTCTATACCGTTTGAAGACCGGCCGCTATCCAAGCTGAAGGAGTCAGATAGGTGCTCTGCCAGTGAGAACCTCTATTTGGACGCCTTGTCCCTGGATGACGAGCCAGAGGAGCTGCTACCCCACAGGCCTGAGAGGGACTTCAGGAACTGCCTCCCTGAGGTCAGCCTGGCTTTCATTTACTCTCGTTAACTGCTGCAGAATGAGGGAGTTGTCCTTAGATACCCAGCAGGAACCTGCCAGAGTCCCGTCCTGGCAGGCTCCAGTGACAACCTATGAATTGAGTGAAAATGAAATCTTTGCAGTGCTGAGGGTTTTGCTTGGTGGCCCTGATCCAAACTCCTGTTGTCATCTGTGGTCAGTTTAATTTTGCCACCTTGTTTCAGGTTGAGAAACACAGTGTCTTATGCAAAATGAAAGTCTGGAGAATAACCATGTTCCACAGAACCCAAGAGAAAGTAAAAAATACTGGGGAAATATGTGTTTTCAACTTTTCTTGAGATCATGGTTTTCTGATTCTAGAAAACTAATAACTGAAGAAATTCTGCATTAGAGAAATTTCCTGATGTTTGGAAGTAGAAAATATCACTAAACTATACTATAAATATCTTATTCTGGACAAAGTGGGGAAAATTCTAAAACTTAGAATCCACATGTAAATTAGATTACCAAATGGGTGATTAAAGGTGCATACTGAAAGTTCCATAGCATGATGTAGGTTTTTCTGGTTTTGTCATCTTTAAAACCTTATTTAAAAAATTTGTACTAGGAGTTATTTCCTGTGAATTAATTTAATAATCACTATCCATCATTTGGTCTCCGAAACATTTAATACTTGGAACAATTCATGTGCAATAATATTGTTGAAATATGGGAAAATTATAAAGGTTGTGTAACCCTTATTCAAAAAGCTAAGATCTAGAATTGTTCGGGATTTTTTTGAAGATTCTGAAATATTTTGCATATACATGATAAGATATATCGGGGATAGGACCTAAGCCAAACACAAAAATCATTTATGCTTCACTTATACTCTATACGTGTAGCCTGAAGATAATTTTTGTAGCATGTGAATGATTATGTGCTTGAAACAAAATTTCATGATAAGGAATCTTCCACTTGTGGTGTCATGTCAGCACTCAAAAAGTTGCAGATTTGGGAGCATTTCAGGTTTTAGATTTTCTGGATTAGGGATGTTGGACCTGTTTTTCAGTCCTTGCCAATGAGTTAAGTGCGGTATCCTCATTCGTGTGTATCAGGTTGGGAGGACATCACCACAGGTCACCCTGGTGGATCTAGAGGCAATGTCGTATAGTCCAGTTTCACTGCAGAGAGAATGTGGGACCAGGGGGCAAACCCTGGGTGGTAGTTCTAGCTGTTTTGTGGCTGCAACTGCCAAGCTCTTCTGAACAGCAGAGACAAGGGCACGCTGGCTGAGGGGGAAGTGCCCTCTGGTGTTTACTGTCCTGAAGAATATGTTTCATTACCATGAAAGGCTTGCTTCTTCAAAGCCACATCAGCATGGGAGTATTCTCTCAATAGACAGCTGGGTGTCTACTAGCACAGCTTTGGTTCTTCTTAAGGGGAAGTCACTGTAAATTCATTTCTGATCCTGAGAATGTTTAAAACCAAGCAAGTGACCAAGCCTAAGAATGTTACCATAGCAATTGCCATAGCGAGATAGGAACCAAGGGACATCCAACTCCTATCTCATTGTGTCATCCTCTGTCTTTCCCCTATCCTCCCCCCTCCTCCACCCCTTCTCTCATACTGAGACTTATTCAGGTCATTCCAAGAGCTGACTTTGAAGTTTATGCAGTTGGGGAGGTCTTCTGAGGAGGCATAGGAGCAAGCCACTTTCTTCATGATGGGTTTACAGCCAGTTTTTCAAGCTCATATGGGCTCCTCCCTGCACTGTGGACGCTCCAACCCTCTCATCATGCTGTCGACTCTGCTCTTATTACTTCAAAGGACTTAGGGCAATAGCACTCCTGACCAAAGTTTGGCCCCAGTGTGTTTTAAATGGTGCCTCCCCAAGGGAGCGGAGCAAAACAAGTCACTTAAGCACAGTTGAGGATCCTAAGCAACCAAAATTAACTGATTCAGATGAACTTATTTCTTCTTTACAGGAAGAAGAAAATCACAAGGGAAATCTTCAAAGGTAAGTAAGATTGATAGAAATAATAGATTGCTGAAATAAAAATCTCTCGGGCTCCAGATTCTATCTTGTTGATGCAGTCTGTTACCAGTCTTCAAAAGGACTCCACATTTAAGTAGTTGATATTGTATTATTTGTTTCAAAAATATATGGTTTTTGAGGATGAGCAACAAAAAGGCTAGATATGCCATCTTCACACATGTATTCTTTTTATGGTAAGGACTTTCCAGTTATAGCTGTATTGCATATAAAAAGAAGTGCGTGTGTTCAGTGGTTTTGAAAAATCCATGGAAAACTCTCCTCGTGAGAAGTTTGGAAAGCCTCCTCTTGATATATGAGACATTTTATATACTATATATTTAAAGTTCCAGGAGGGCTTGTTAAAAATGTTTTCTTGGCAATAATCCCCTAAGAAAATATATAGTGGTTGATGTTGTTGGTGTTAGTTATATACCAGTTTTTCCCCCCCTCCCTGGTTTTATTTGCTCTGGTTTTTCTTTATAGATGAATACATATTGTTTCCACTACATAAATTTTGTTCTCAGGCAACTTGCCATTTTCGGTTCTCCCCATCCTTGATTTTCTCATGAACTTGGAGTCTGTGGATGACTGTCTTCTTTCTTTTTGCACTGTCAGATCCATGCAGCACACAGAGTTGCCCAGGGCATGTTTCTGTCCTTCACTGTCTGGTCTTCCTCGGGCAGTACAGGGCAGCATTTGAGAGTTTAGGCATTAGTGGTAAAAGGTCTTGGGTTCAAATCACTACTGTCTTCACTGGCCCTATAATCTTGGGTAGGTTTCCTAATTCTTTGTGCCTCAGTTTCCTTATTTGTGAATAGGAGTTCTTTAGATTTTGCAGCTTACTTGTGTTAATACACATGAAACAAAGCAGTACACAGGAGAAGCAGTGATCAAAGTTTAGCTGTCATTGTACCTACCTACTTTACCTATTCATGGAAGCATCCTTGTCAGTGCCCAGGTCAAGGTTAGAGCCACCCTCTTTTACCCACCAAGCCACTGAGCTTTCTGTTTGCTCCCTGTGCTATACAGCTGTTTCAAAAAACCTTATTTCTACTGGGAAGCTGAATTGGGAGGATTTTAAATTCAAAGCCAGCCTGGGCAATTTAGCGAGACCCCCCCCCCCTCAAAATAAAAAATAATAAAGGTTAGGGTATAGCTCAGAGGTAGAACAATTGCCTAGCATGTGAGGACCTGGGTTCAATCCCCAGTACTGCAAAATAATTAATACTCATTATCATCATCATCATCATCTTGCTTGTTTCTGTGAGTTTCAAAAACAGTTCATGCTTGTGGTAAATTAAACAGTATCAAAATGTCCAAAGTTAAAAAAACAAATGTGAAGGGAGGGAGAAGGGGAATAGCTAGGAAGGTGGAAGAAGATGGTCATCATTATACAAAATACATGTATGAAGATGTGAATTTGGTGTCAACATACCTTATATACAAACAGAGATATGATAAATTGTGGTATAAAGGTGTATTAAGAATTGTATGCAAAAAAAATGAGAGCTCATGTATAATGGCATAATTTGGTGTGAACATACAGAGTTACGAAAAATTGTCATGTATGTAAGAAATAAATAAAAATAAATAAATAAATAAAAATAAAAAAACAAATGTGCCCTCCCTCCACCCACTTTTACCTCTTGCTTCTAACCATGTGGTAGTCTCCTCCATTCTTTCTTCTATGTGCCTGCAAATGCCTACACATGTTCCAAGTACATCCTGGTTTTGTAGTTATTTTGTGTGTTTGGCCACTGCTAAATTCAGTGCCACTTCTTTCTCTTTATCATTGCTGTTCCACTGCATTTGGCTAAGACCCAGAGGCATCAAGCCACCACCCCCATAGGTGACATTGATGGTACTGTGCACTAGTCATACAGTACACAACTTGCTCAAAGCACAACTCAGTTCTGGCCTTGTCCTGTAGAGGCGTAACCTATGCACTCAATCTAGGACCCCTGCATCAGGACCTGTGCTGATCTAGAAGTGAGATAAGAGCCTCTGTTTGAGGAGGTGAGGGGACCCAAGAGAAGCAGGTTCAGTTGTATAGACAATGATTCTTCGTTTGCCTCCCCTCCTCCCCTCACCCCAACTGGAGGAATTCCAGGCCACAGAGGTTCTGTTGTCTGCACAGGTGAATGTAGCCAGCCCCCAGCCTCCTTCCTGACCTGATGGGTGAACAAGCTGCCCAATCTCCTGGCATCCCAGCACCTCTGCCTATGGGAGGCAGTCTGTGAATTCATGTCAGGTTGAAATATGTGGAATGGAAGTGCCAACGTATCCAGGAGTCTACACCTAAGCCACATCTGTCAGCCAACAACTTGCCAAAAACTAGCTGTGTTCATGTATCTGAGGGAGATTTTCTTTTATTTAGGATATAAAGGGGTAGCACAAACACATACCCAAAAAGACTGGCCATAAAGAAGGGAGCGCAGAGAGAAGGGGAGAATTGAGCCCTGCTGGGTGAATTTGGGCAGGGCCAGGTGAATCCTTGTTTGAAATAGTACTTGGAAACTGTGTGGCAATCTATGGTTTCTACTTCCCTCCCTTTTCCTATGTCTTCCAAGTGGCCTTTGGAGATTGTTGGTCCTTGCAGCCAATAGAGGACAAGGCTGGTTAGTTGAAGAGAGACTTCAGAATGTAATGATTCTGTTGTGGTCTCTCTCCACCATGTATCTTTAGCTTATTGAAGATAGAGACCATGAGGTGCCCATCTCCACAGGATGATGAGTGTCTGCTGATGCTGGACCTTAGTAAGTCTCAGTAGGGGTGTCACTCAAGGCATGAAAAGAGAGGCCAAGCAGCAGTCTGGAGTTCAGCTGTGATTGTGGTGCAGCCCCACCCTTCTCCTTTTTGTGGTAGTTGAGGGTTGGCTGTATTAAATTCTGACCAACGTGAAGTTAAAAGAATGATTCCAGAGCCACAAAAAAAGTCCAGTAAACCCTCAAAGGATGAGTTCAAGAGCAGAATCCATCAAGCAGCAAATGTGTTCTGTGTAGGTGGAGGCGGATGCCTTCATGGGCACAGCTCACGTAGCCAGAGCACAGCTGCTGTGGGACATCAGGGCCTCTCTGGTGGGTTTCTGACATCCTCTGCTTTCCTACCTTTCCCAGGGCGGTATCTGTGTCCTCCATGTCTGAATTCCAGCGCCTGATGGATGTCTCCCCCTTCCTGCCTGAGAAGGGCCTGCCATCTGCCAGTAGCAAAGAAGATGTCACCCCACCCCTGTCTCCTGATGATTTCCGCTACATTGAAGAGTTCAACAGCAAGAGCTGGGACTACACACCCTCCAGGACTGGGACAGAGAGGCCTCCGGACCTCTGGACAGACAGGACCGAGGGGGTGCGGGCAGGGCATGAGGCCAATGCAGAGCCTTTCTCTGATTCTTCCTGGTACCTGACCACGAGTGTCACCATGACCACAGATACCATGACCAGCCCAGAGCACTGCCAGAAGCAACCACTGCGGAGCCACATCCTCACTGAACAAGCAGGGGTGCGCGTGCTTCACAGCCCACCTGCTGTCCGCAGGGTTGAGAGCATCATGACAGGCGGAGAAAGCAGGAGCCGACTGGAACCCGAGGGCCCCTTTCCCACGAGCAGAGTCAGAGGGGGCCTGGGAGATGTCAAGGGAGGTCATCCAGAATCTGTGCTCAGCAGGTGGCCTTGTGCCTCCTCTAGACATACCCGAGACTATGTGGAGGGGACTCTCTGCACCTCCCTGGGGTTTGCCTCCCCATTGCACAGCCTGGATATGTCCAAGAACATGAGTGATGACATGAAGGAGGTAGCCTTCTCTGTCAGGAATGCTATCTGCTCTGGTCCCACTGAGCCACAAGTCAAGGACATGGCCTGCCAGACCAATGGGTCCCGGACAACAGGGACACAGACTGTCCAGACCATTAGTGTGGGCCTACAGACTGAAGCCCTTCGTAATAGCGGTGTCACCAGCAGTCCCCATAAGTGTCTCACGCCAAAGGCTGGGGGTGGTGCCACACCTGTGTCCTCCCCTTCCCGTAGCCTGAGGAACAGGCAGGTGGCCCCCGCCATAGAGAAGGTACAGGCCAAGTTTGAGCGTACCTGCTGCTCTCCAAAGTATGGTTCTCCCAAGCTGCAGAGGAAGCCCCTTCCCAAAGCCGACCAGCCAAATAGCAGGAACTCACCAGGGGTGGCCCAGAAAGGGTACAGTGAGTCAGCATGGGCCCGTTCCACCACCACTAGGGAGAGCCCCGTGCACACCACCATCAACGATGGTCTCTCCAGCCTCTTCAACATCATTGACCACAGCCCTGTGGTGCAGGACCCCTTCCAGAAGGGGGCACGGGCTGGGAGTAGGTCTCGCTCTGCAGAACCCAGACCAGAGTTGGGCCCAGGCCAAGAAACAGGAACCAGTTCCCGAGGAAGGTCACCCAGCCCCCTTGGGACAGGCTCAGAGACGTGCAGGGAAGAAGGGGGAGAGGGCACACCAGTGAGGCAGGACTTATCCGCTCCCCCTGGCTATACACTCGCTGAGAGTGTGGCCCGGATCCTCAACAAGAAGTTGTTGGAGCATGCCTTAAAGGAGGAAAGGAGGCAGGCCACCCACGGCCCCCCAAGTCTTACCAGCGACAACCACGTAGGAGAAGCAGTCACGGCTGAACCAGGGTCCATGGAGGTAAAGAATGAAATGTTTCCTGCTCTTCCATTTAGCTGCCAGGCACATGGGAATCTGGGATGGATTTGGGACAGTGATTTCAGGAATCACTGTCAATGATGGTGAACTGGGGAAATGGGTTGGGGGTTAGGGAGTATGAAAACACAGACCCCAAGCAACTTCTTAAAGAAAATCTCATCTTACTCTTTTCAAAATCATCAAGGACATGGTTTGGTTCAGATTTCATCCTTTAAGTGATTTTTCTTATCTGTTTACCTGGGCTTTGCACCCGGGTCATAGTTTGCCCTCTTTGTGCATGTCATGGGTGAAAATTGAATTGTGTGTGTGTATCTGTGTCTCAGGACTTTTACATGCTACAGATATTTGTATGTGGCAATGTAAAAGGTGAGTTGGAGGGCTTTTGAGCCACGTGGACATGAGCACATCTTCTATCAGGAACTACAAGAACAATATTTGGATTCCCTGGCTGACTTCAGTACAGAACAGCAGTCTGGCATCTCACAAATCACCTTTTTGTGTCTGTGAACCCCTCTAGCAATAAAATAAGGATAAGATCAAAATATCTGCCTTAGTACAATATGATGATGATGATTGTCCCCCCTCAAAATCACTTAGAAATCAATCAACCCTGAATTCTGTTCTGATACATATCCCCAGGTGGTATTTTTGCATCATATCACTATAAAAAATAATTCCCATTTCCATACCAAGAATGAGCAAAATGAAGCAAATAATATGATAATGCTGGTGGTGACTGTAGTGTTGATGCCAATTTTATGATTTACGCAGACTGAAAGGACAGTGCTGCCCCACAGGTGGCCATGTGTATGTGTGACACTTGCCACTGTTCCTAAGTCACCAGAAGCCCAGCTATGCACATGCTATACTAGCCTTCTCTAGGCCCCTGTCTCTCACAACAGTAAGGGGGGTCAGGGAGGACAGCCATATGCTCCTGGGCCGCCCCACTGCTTTCTGGCCACCACCAGGCAGCCTGGCTTCATGGGAGAGAATAGAAGGAAGGTTTGTTTCTGGGATCGCCTGCCTTACATTTCCCCTGGAGAAAAAATGGGTAGATCCCAGCCCAACCCACCAAGGAATATTTAACACAAAATATTATAGAGTTTAAATCTAAAATAGGACAAAACCTGTACAATTGCCAATGACCTACAGAAATGGTTCAACCTTATACAGTTATTGCTAGTATGTGGCCTACTGGTCCAAAGGTTTGAGTCTTGGGATAAAGTTGTTTACACCCTCTGTTTGACTGTTCTTGGGTGACAAATAATGTCTTCTTTGATCTTCTCTTTCCTCAAACCTTCAGGAGCCCTCAGGTAAGCACTTGAGGCTTGGGAGGGTCATTATATGTGAATACCTTGCCTTCTCAGGGCTCTGGAGAAATGGGCTCAAAGCATTGTTAACTGGCTTTGTCTGTAGTTTCTACTTGTATTAGAGAATAAACAGAAATTAGTTTTCAGGCACCAAAAAAAAAAAAATGCTTTGATTTACTAACACTGAATGCTGCAAGCAATCTGTGGTAACATAAAGAAAGAGGTTTAATGACAGAATCACAGCATTGTGGCATGCAAGTGGTTATGTCAGTGCAAAACTGTCCTCCTTTGTCCCCTGTGAACCCTGCAACTAGATTTTCTCTTCCTTAGTGTGTTTGCCACCAAACAAGGTGATTCAATGGGAGCATTTCCAGGACTCAGAACCTGTGTGGAGACCGGGCAGCACTTTGATGCCCTGGGTTCTTTTTTCCTTTTCTGTTACAAGTTTGCTTGGTTCTCGATTCTGGTAGAATTTTTCTGTTTGAATTGACGTAACATATTAGGAGCACTGGTGACCCCTTCCCTTCTCTCCATGGATTATGTAGTAGCTCTAGGTTTTCATTCCCAAATCAGAAGATGCTGATTTCTCATTCTGATTTCCCAGCCCACTCTGAGCACCCTGCTATGGAATCTTTCCTGAACATACACTCAGACATCTAGACACAGGGGTGACTCGGGCAGCAGGACGTGTCCCTTCTTGCTTCCCACTCATCCCACAGGTGACATAGTCTTCCTCTTCTCTTGAAGCCATGGCCACCAGCTCAACAATGCAAAGAGAAGCTGGGAGGGGGAGTTCCAGTGTGAAGAGAACCAATGATCTTGGAGTGGAAAATGGGAGGGAGATAACTTAGCATAGTTGTGACCAGAACAGACCCAACTGTGGAGTGGCCTCTATCATTTCCAGCACAACAGCCGGGCCACTTCCACTTCTGTTTGCCAAATGCTCATGGGTAGCTCAGGGAGCCTGGAAACCAGAAGGGAGGTCCAAGGCTCTTTGGTGGGTTCTTCTTCTCTCCGTAGCACTTGGCAGAGGACAGCCTGTGTCGAAGTACTGCTGCTACTGCCCCAACCCCATCTCGGAGTGAATGTGGGGGACCTCAATTCCATCCTGGTGGCTGTCCACAGGCAGGAACTTTGCCCCTCTTCCACTGTGCTCATTGACTTTTACTATTCTGTTTGAAACATACTTTCAAACCTACTTGCTTTTCTCTTCTTTGTCTGTCTAGAATCAAACTGTCTTACTAACTGCCCCATGGGGACTCTAGCCCTGCCGCCTCACGCTGTAAGTGCCTTCTTCCTCAGTTCCCAACTGTCTCGAGAGAGTCATGTGTGTAATTTGTGTAACACGTAGTTGGTGTCTGACACTCATCATCATGGGGTGGGGGGCGTCTGCTCCATGCTAACCCCAGGATCATGTGGGCCAGCTTATTTCCAGGCACAGCCTAGGAATCTCAGATGCCCCATTCACCCCATTCTAGGGTTGATGCTTAATGTCAAGAGAGGTTGTTGAGTTATAGAGATTCTGCTGAGACTTCTCCTCTCTTTGTGTAGCCAACATGCTTTCATAGGAGAGAGCCACTGGTCAGGAGGGGACATCTCAGCCACAAGACTCTTGCCTGAGGAGGTCTTTGAGTCCAGCCTCTGTTAGATCTGTAGCCCTGACCACCGGCTCCTGCCCTCCCTGCTCACTGGCGTTTTGGTTGAACATTTGTGTTACCATATGCTGGAATGAGGTGGGACCATAATGTGCTGGGACTTTTCTTTTATTTTCAAACAGTCCTGCCAGAAGGAATAACCCCAAATGTATTTTGTCCTTCATATGAGACAGAGTAAGTGCTTGATAAATACTTGTTGAATAAATAAAACAACCAAGCTATCCCTGCTCTACATGTCTCAAAATGGCCTTTGAGACCTGAATTGAGCAAAGCATATGAGAAAACATACTCTGATTTTACTTGAGGATATGGACACTCACACCTCATCCACTGGCCTAAATCTAAACTGTGGAGTACCAAACTATAGTCAGCTATCAGAGGTAAAAACTAGTCCCTGGGGAAAAAAAATGACAAAGTACATGAGAAAGCCATTTACAAGATGGATGCTTCTAGGGCAGCATCACAGGACAGAGGCCTATGTGGCCATCATGGTGGCTTTTGAGGAAAAGGAAACATTGCTTGCTTGTAAGTGCTGGTGTGGAAGTAAGGAAGACCTCATGGTTACACAACATTTCTTCCTTTATAAGCAGATGCCACTGAAGAGGTGGTGCATCATGGTCTAAGAAGAGCCCATTTTTGTTCAGCAATAGTCAGGTGGGAACAGGGGCTAACTACAGCTACAGCAGCAGCTTTACCAACATGCAGCACACACAACAGATATATGCACAGTATACAACGACACAACACTCACTGCTCTTACAATTGCGCAAGCAGAGAAGAACTGTAGCAGATTTTCCAAACCATGTGTCCCCCAGTATCAAGCAGGTGGGCCCAGGTGGGCTCTGTAAGCACATGGCATCCTGGCTTACTTTTTATCTCAGGGGCACCAGTGGTGTGCCAGCAAAGAGGACAGTCTGCTTGTCATGGTCCCATTATCATAAGTGCGTTGCCCATGAAGGCCCTTTCTATGTCTTATAAGGTGCCAGCCACAAAGTAGGCAGGGACCCTGAAGAAGTGATCTCCGTTGTTAATGTTCCTTTTGTGCTGATCCCACCAGGGAATCTGTGGGTCCCACACTGTCCTTGGGCCGAGCCATCCTCACTGGCCAACTCCACACATCCTCCACATGTTCCGTCTTCTCCCGAGTGGCATTGCCTACCCATTCAGCACAACCATCTGTCTTTCCCCTGTTGCTGTTCCCCTACTCCCGTGGCTAATCTGTCATTCTGGTCTTTTTAGTTGCTTGTCACGTCTTTAAATCCAAGTCTCTTGCTGACTTTCTTTGTGGATCCTTGTTCTGTGTCATCCTTCCTGTGCCTTCCATTGAAGTAATTCACCTCTCGGCTTTCTGTGAGTGTCACTTGGGTTCCCCGCTGTATCACTGTTTCCTCATACCATAGCTGTTTACATTTCTGTATTTCAGCAACTTCCAAGATTGGGTATCCTTTTTCTTTAACATTGCACGCTACAGACAAGTAGCTCAACATTCTTTAAAAACAAAAAGTACCTTGAGAATAAGGTTTAGAGGTGATTTGCATCAAGGTTGAGCGTGTCTTGTATGATCAGTTCTCAGAACATCAGGGTGCCTGGAACACAAAATCACAAGTGCACTCTGATACCAATTTGTAAAAATGCTGCTACATTTAAGAGTCATTAAAGACAACTAGAACTCAATTAAAATTTCTGCCGGCAGCATTTTTTCCATGTCGTGGGAGTTTGTTTTGCCCACTGCCAATCAACTTGGAATAAACAGTAGCAGAGCTTGTTTCAAGACAAGTCTTACTGTTAATCTGGTGGGCTGAAAGCATAGTTCTCTTCCTGGGCCCCCAGTAGATCTGGTTGACTATACCTAAATCTTTCATTAAAGAAGGCCAATGGTGGGGTCAGCTTAGTGGGATTCTGCCAGGGTATGTACAGTTGCTCTCCTTGGTCTTCTGCATGTCCTAGCCCAATTCTGGAGGGGCTCTGAAAACAGGCCCATCTCACAGCTTTGCCATTTCATTCTTAATCTGGTATCTTCCCATTCACATCACTGATTTCCCCTGTTTGAGTTCTTTCACCGATCATTTTAAATTATTTTCCATGAGCAGAATATTCATTCCTGTTCAGAAGTCGTCCATGGTCTCTTCCATGTAGCTTAAGACTGTTGGGAAAAGGGGGGGAATTATCCACTATGAAACTACTGACCTCAGTAATGCTGTCTCCCCTTTCTCGGTTCTGAAGGAACTGCCTTGCCCTGCGCTAGCGCCATCCCTAGAGCCCTGCTTCTCCAGGCCCGAGAGACCAGCAAACCGTCGTCCTCCATCCCGTTGGGCAACACCTTCTCCCACTGCCTCACAGTCTCAGCCACCCGGAGACCAGACCTCCTTGGAGGAACACGGTGATGAGGATCCCCTGGAGGAAATGCCACACCCGTGATGCAAGCTTGCATGGATTATCACAGAATAATTCACTGTAATTTGCATAGCCACACCATCTTCACAACCAAACTCTGGCCCAAAGGAGAGATCTAGTTTTCTCAAGGTCAAAGAATGTTTTTTTTTAAAAAAAACACACAGCTGCTGAATGTCCAAACCTGTGAAACTGAGATGTTTCTAGAATGAAACAGCAAATGTGCCTGTAATAACTTAATTTTTTTCATAGCTCAGAAAACTATTTTTGTCTCCATCTTTTTTACACACAGTATATTAAAAAAAAAGAAAAACAGGTAAATATGGTATAAATAGATATAAAATATAAAAGTTTTAAAAAATGTACATTTTAAGAGATTCTGAACACCCTTGCTCTCAATCCTGACTGCCTCTCTGTTAAATTTGCACTGTTCTGTTTTGGTTGGGTTTATCTCCATGTTGAACTTAGAGTGTTTTAAGTTAATTTTATTTTGTCAATGTTAACAATTTTTTAGGAATTTTTAAAAATGCTTCAGACTGTCTGATTCAGTGAACTTTTTGTAGTGAAAAAGCCATGGAACCAGTAGACAAGACAGATGTTCTGGAAACTGGAGGGATGCAGGTCAATGTTTTTGAGAAGGCACAGAATCCTCAGACGGGCGTAGAAAATTCACTGTATAGTCTACATATTAGTCTGCCCGAGTGCACGTCTTCGGGTGCATGTACATATGCTGCTGTCCTCTCCCTCACCTAAGTGTGTGTCCGTCTGGCCCACTGTAATTGTGAAGTTCCTTGTACTGTACTATTATCGTTGGTCCCCTTGCATTGATGAGATAACAGCACCATTTTAAAATTATTGTTAAAAGATTAACCGGCAATGTACAGAGTTCACTCAGAATTTTCTTGTTTAAGGAAAACACTGCAAAATCATGAGGATACCAAATTGAGACAAACGGTGGTGCCTCTGAGTCTGTCTGAGACCATGATGAAGTAGAAATAAAAGCCTTTTTGAGATGGCGGTGTGCTCTCAGGTCTCAGGTTTCACATGCCCTCCGTGTCTTCCTGAGAACTCCAATGGAAAGTTTTCTGTAGCCAGGGGGATGGTGGGGAGGGGCTTGTGCAAAAAGCAAACAGCTGGTCATACGTCTCACTGGGATGCACCCTTGCACATGATCACATTGCAGTTCTACAGGACTCTGGGAGGGTCCCTAGGTAAGGGAATGCCTTTATTCTCATTGCAAAAGCCCAAACTGGGAAGAGGATGGGAATTTGAGGAAACGGTTACCTGCAAGTCAATGTGGCAAGCCTCTGTCCCCTCCACTCAGGAAAGAGGGAGTGGCCAGTAGCTCCAGGACAGGCAGTTCCCTTTCTGGCAGTGAGATGTAGCCCAAGCTGGTGGTATCAGTTAGAGGTTAGCGCAGGGGATTACAAAGGAGTGTGCTGCCCATAAGTCCAAAAAGAACTATTTCAGCCACAGCTTCTGACTTCAACGTTTCATTAACCCAACAGTTTTCTTATGTACATGAACAGGTGGAGTAAGTCCTAATCCCAGCATGACCACAGTTCCACCTTTAAGCATATACTTTTAAAAAACAAATGTTTGAGCATATGGAGAAATGGGAGCCCTCCTGTACTGTTGGTGGAAAAGTAAATGGTCCAGCCACTGCAGAAGGCAGTATGGCAGCTCCTCACCAAACCAGAATGATTAGATGATCCAGCTACCCCCCTACTGAATGTATATCCCACCCCCACAAATTGAAATAAACTCAGATACTTGTACACCAATATTCATTGCAGCATTATTCATGAAGATTATGAATAAGGTGGAAACAGCCCATCGTTAGGTGAATGGATAAATGAAATGTAGTTATATATACACAGTGAAATATTTTTCAACCTTGGAAAAGAAGGAAATTCTGGCATCTGCTACAGCATTAATGAACCCTGAAAACATGATACCAAGTGAAATAAACCAAGTCACAAAGATTTTGACAATTATTATATATTTCCACTTATATGGGGAACTAGAGTAGTCAGATTAATAGAGAAGAAAATAGTGGGTGCTAGGGATTGAGGACAGGAGGGAATGGGGGAGTTCGTGTGTAATAGGTATAGAATTTCAGTTTAGGATGACAAAAAAAAGTACTGGAAATGGATAGTGGTGAGTGTTGCCCAGCCATGTGAATACACTTGATGCCACTGAGTTGTACTTTTGAAAATGGTTCAATTGGTAAATGTTACACATATTTTACCACTTTGAATGCAAAAGAGATATTTAATCATTCTAGACATAGCTACAAACCACCTATTAACAAATTGGTTAGTTTTGTAGGGACAGAGGATATAGTTCAGTAGAGCATTTACTTGCTTATCATGTGTGTGTGTGTGAGAGAGAGAGAGAGAGAGGTGCCCGGTAAATGCTCCAGGTGCATCAACATTCTTTTAGTTGGAAGAACCAGCCAATTAGGAAGGAAGTTATTGGTTCTCATAACCGAGCCTCAAACTATGCCACCAGGATTCTAGTTAGTCTTCTGACTCTGCTGTGTGATATTTTATTGTTAGAGAAACATTCCAACAACAGTAAACCCTAACAGCTCCTATTCATCTGGAAATTTCTGGGGAAAGGAGATCTCTTACCAGGAGCTCCAGCAAAAGCCCAAGGCTGATGATCCTCATTGGTCTAGAGAAAGTCACATGTCTGGCTTTGATCCAATTACAGTGTCAGGTTGACCCAGTGAAGGAAAGTGAGATGCTATCTGAATAGAGGGGAGAACATGCCTGGAAGGTAGTGGGAACCCTAAAAATTTCAAGAACAAGCTATGGCCACCAGAGATCTTGCCATATGGTTGGAGGAGATAAAATTCCCAGGCAAAACAAAAGAAATGCAAAAATGGTATGGTAGAAATTTCAAGTACAGTAGGATTTGGATAAGCAGCATTTCAACTTGGAGGGAGGCATTAAAAAGCACGGTCACATGAGGCAGTGACACACTAACTGGGCTGGTTGCAGAACTTTGTGTGACCAGAGCCACAACAGGCACACAGTACCTTGAGAACTGCTTTGGAATTTCTAATAATTGGACAAGAATTCTTGAGTCTGTATTGTGAAGCCACTCCAACTTTCTAAAGCAAGGCAAGACAGTAGGATGAAATCATTTTCCACTGTCCTGTCCAGATAAATGCTGAGACAGCTCCTTGGGTCCTACGTGGCTGCAAAGGCAGAGCAGCTGCCTACAGGGAACAGCCCACAGGAAGTGTCTGTTCATGTCTCCAGGAGCTGCTATTCATGGGCCAGTTGCTTTTATGTCCTAAGGAAAGATGCAGCAGATTCCTCAAAGAGCCACAACCCTGAAACTGCAGTCATTGCGGGGGTGGGGCGGCGGTGTCACATTCCATTCTCTCCTTTCTTCCGATTACCAAAAGGTAATTTGTTATACTAAGGTTTTGAGTATTATGAGTCTATTTTATGTACATCATAATTCTAATTATTAGTAAATCTATTTGTTTCACCTTTTTTTTCTTTCTGTGGAACAACCTCTGAAATTTAAAAATACCTAATTTTATTTTTAAAATTAATTTATGTTTAAAGTAAATTAACATATCCATCATCTCATATAGTTATCCCTCCCTTTTGTGGCAAGAGCTCTTAAAATCTACTCTTTTAGCAGACATTCTAAATGCAACACAGTACTATTGTTTTGTGTAGTTCATTAGATCTCTAGAGAAGCTTGACAGAGTTCTACATATTTATCAAAAAGTGGCTGAAATGCAGAACTACCATTTTCCTATTCCTAATTCATTGCTTTCAATTGTGGTACCATACACATGTTATAAAATTGACTATTTTGATCACTTGACAGAGTGCCATTCGGGGATAGTTCTTTCACAGTGTTATGCAACCACCACCACTGTCTTCTTCCAGAGCACTGTCATCACCCTAAGGGAAACCCCAAAGGCACTGAGCCGTCACTCCCCCTAGCTCCTGGCCCCACTAATCTACTTCCTGCCTCCATGGGTTTGCCTATTTAGGAAATTTCCTATTAGTGGCTATTTCATATGCCATGTGGCCCTTTGTGTCTGGCTTCTTGCACTTACCATGAAGTTTTCAAGGCTGTTCCCTGTTGCAGCGTGTATTGACTTCATTCCTCCCTCTGCTGGATAATATCCCAATGGGTAGCTGGGCTGCATTTTGTTTATCCAGGCAGAAGTTGATGGTGTGTGTCTAGTTTTAAAACAAAAGAAACCCTTTGGTAAGCTTACTTTACACAGCCTTGTGCTCCTCCCCTAAAAAGGTGACTCACCACGAATAATCCGAGCACTAGGCAATCCCTTTACACCACTGAGCACTTTAGGGTCCTTCATCCTCCTTGGTTCAAGGGCCCACCATGACAATCCTTGTCATGGTTTTCTCTGATTGCAATAGGCCTGTCAGCACCATTCTTTGAGTGCAGCGTGCATCAGAATCCTGTATAGCAGACAGCACAGGCTCGGAGTCAAAGACAGTTTGCTTGAATGAATTTGATGACACCGTGTTTTTAGCACACTCCAGGCCCCTAGAATATGTGTGCCTCTGCAACTCAAAAATCTGTATTGGAGTCGTGGTTCAGACACTGAAAGAAATACAACCTCAAGTCGTCTCTTTAAGACCAGGGATTTTTTGTGTTTCTACTGGGTGACTACATATGTGTGAATCCAAGAACAATTATTAATGTTTCACCTCTTATTTTATTTTCACAATTATCACACTACGCAATTTTTTTGAAGCTTCATACTTCACTTTACAGTGTATCCTCCAATACTCTCAAAATAACATAGCTTTTTTCTTATTTTTAACAGTGCTATGCTAATATCTTAAATCTTAAATGTCCCTTGAAGCTACATGTGCTAAAGAATTAATACACACTGTGGTGACACTGGGACATGTTGGGACATTAAAGATGTGGGACCTAGTGGGACATCTTTAGGCCATTGGAGGCAAACCCTCTAGGTGATTCGGGGGACCTGGCCCCTCCTTCTTTCTCCCTATGATTCCTGGTCATTTGGTTGACAGTTTTACTCTACCATGATGTCCTGTCTCCCCCTCAGACCAAAAGCAATGGGGACAACTGACTAGGGACTGAAACCTCCAAAACCATCAACTAATTCTGGAAAGGTGGACAACACCTATAATTCCAACAACTCTGGAGCCTGAGGAAGGAGGGTCACAAATTCAAAACCACCTGAGCAACTCTGTGTGACAGTATCTCCAAAAATAAAGAGAGTTGGCAAACAAGTTAAGTGGAGAAGATCCCTGGATTCAACACATAGGCCATCAAAAAAAAAAAAAAAAAAGACCTTAAAATAAGCCTCATCACAGCTATTAGATTGTGTGTGTGTGTGTGTGTGTGTGTGAAATTAACACAGCTAACTTGATAACTTTATGTGAGCCTTCTTATCTGGGGATTCAGTGTTCTGTAAGAAAGCATAGAATTGTCCTGTGAAAACATCTAGAAGCAGAATTGCTAGGCATCTGCCACTTCCATCAACATTCCAAGTGACTGTCCAAATAAGACATTCCCCCTTTTAGAGTTGCTATTTTTCCACCTATTCTCATTCCACCAGTCTCATTATATGAAGAAAGATGTTTACAAAATAAAGATTTGCATGCAAAAAAAAAAAAAGACCGGGGATGAAAAATAGCAACAAGAACACATGCTTCCTGGGGTTAGAATTAAGGTACTTTGTGTACCTACTGTGGAGGGGACATTCTGATAAGAATTGCAAACACTGGAGGTGAACAGAAAAGACAGGCTCTCTCTTTGATGGGACCTGTATTCTAGCTACGGGAAACATGGTACAAACAGGAAAGTGGCAGAGAGCAAGAGACTCTTTCTGAGCCAGGCTTATTTGCCTGCCGCCCAGTATGCCAATCCCTGAAGCTGCGAATTTTGCAAGAGTTTACTCATGAAGCAACCAAATAGGAGGAGGGGTACCCCAGACTCAATTTTCTACCTTCTAGAGGATAGGATTTCGGGGTAGTTTTGGGATGAAGAAACAGGGTGGGGTGGGGAAAAGTAATTGGAGGTAAGGAAAAGTGAGGTGATCAGTGGTCTGCAAATGTGTAGTTGAACTTCATGGCTCTTCACAGAAAAATGGCAGTCTTAGCATGACCTGAGGGTGGAGGTTTTGGCTCTCTGATGTCAAAAGATTGCCCATCAGATATTATACAGGCCCAAGTGAAAGGGTTGATGGCTTCAACTAGTTTGAGCTACTTTTTGGGGATTTTAGCTCCAAATCCCTAAAAACAAAGCATTAACAAGCTGACCACCCATCAGAGCTGTAAGACTAGCAGAGCTCTATTACCTTACTGTTTAGTTAAGCGACTTCTAAAACTGTGATAAAAGCAGGTAACTAAGCTCAAGTGAAAATAGAGAGTTTATTCAGGTTTTTGTTTGTTGTTGTTGCTTTTTTTTTTTTAATTTCAGAAGAAACAACATGCTCTTTGGTTTTTAAATTTGAGGAGGGAAAAGTCTAAATTTTTATCTGTCTTGTAAGAGAAAAAAATTATAATTTTCATAATGGGGACTCTGTTACGTGACTAAGAGACTTTACTGGGGAGATGCCATTTGCCTGGAGGCTTGAACAAAAAGACACTGTCAGCCAGGCAGAAGGAGTAGCCTGTGCAAATATTCTGGAGAGGTGGATGTGAGCTTGGTGTGTTCCACGAAGTGAAAGAAGGCCACTGTGGCCAGAGCAAGGTGGGCAAGGGCTCTAGAGAGGCACAGGAGAGGTCAGGGGACTTGGAAG